TCTATCTATCTATCTATCTATCTATCTATCTATCTATCTATCTATCTCCTCTCTGTCTGTCCGTCTCTTCTCTCTCTCTGTCTGTCTTTCTGTCCTGCTATATTTTGATAGAAGTCTTTATTTCTACTTCTAGATAGAGAGAGAGAGAGAATATAAAAATACCTCAATGATTAGTTCCAGGGTTTTCATGTTTATTCATTTCAAAGGCATTTTTATCCAAGCATTTTAAGTGATATTATATGCTTTAAACTCACATGTTATGGTTGTGTTGGTTTCTGAAGCAGCGGCCATTAATGTATTTATAAATCTGCTGATGTCGAGGTTAGTGTGAGGAGGATCTGATTTGGACAATGAGTGCAATAAGATGGAGCGTTCGATGGAATTTCTGAAGAGGCTTGAGTGGCTTCAAGATGACAAGCATTTTTCCTCAATGTAGCCCAACCCTTACCTTTTCTGCCCTCTTACCAAATATGACTGAGCTGATTCTCAGGCTTCCACGTGATGACAGTATGAAGGGAGTTGTGGTGACATCAGAGAGGTGAAAACTGGAAAGCCCTGAACAGTGGGACTACAGAGACAATGCCATGCACCAAGTTCATGCAAAAATATAAACTCTTGCAAAAACGATAAAATATATGTATATTCCTTTAGAATGGATTGAAGACATTATTAACGCAATAGCATATTACTCTATACTAAGGAATGCAACTGCGCACATGCACAGAAAATGTTTTTAACATAAAAGGCTATATATATATGAAATATATGAATATATATATATATAAATATATACATATATATATTTACTTAGAATGCTATGCACCCTTCCTTGTCAACTGGGATTCTACTTATGTTATGGATGTACTTTTAGCATCATACAGCTGTAGCTACCAAGAGACTGTTGAGTTCTGGGTAATGCCTGCGACCTGGGGATAAATAGGGGTCTTGTGGGTATTTTAACTTGTTTTGTTTGCTTTTTTTTATTGTCATGAAGAGTCAAACATAGATTTAAAATATACATGTAAAAGCCTTTTAATCCAATCAAAATCTAAGGACATCTATTGACAATTTACTCTGTACACCAGCTCAACATTTACAGAATTAATAAAGAAATGAAATGTCTTTGTGTATAGTGTGTCTACTTTTGGTTGAGGCACTAATGCTGTTATGCAGGTCACAGGCCGTGTGTTTAACTGGACAGCAACAAGTATTTACCTTGTGAACTAATTAAGGCTTATTTTAGAAGTGACAAAAAATATTGTATTTAAAAATAATCCACTCAATAAGAAAAAACTCTCAAACTCGCTAGTTAGTCTATAAATGGATGAGTTATTGCATCACTGATTCAGTCGCATGATGTTAAGTAATCTATTCATTTTAGTACCTCTTAAATTAAGTACAACTATCAATAATTTACAATGTGTGAGAGAGTAAGTTAACTGTCAGCTTGTCTGTAAAACATTTCAGTCTTTAAAAGAGAATCTTTTGTATGCCGTTTTGTGACAGACTGAGAGTAGAGAGTCCAGCAATGGAAGAATAACAACAACAAAGAATTTGGGGATTACATAATCCATAGCTAAAGAAGCCATTTGTCAGAAATTCTTTAATATTCAAAAGGCTGTGACCTCGAGGCCACACCTGGATGAAAATCATTATCTGGATGGCTGAAACACACTGAACTTTGTTGGGGAACAAAGTCTGTCGCTTCCCCCACACAAATTCAACTTAAGACCCTCTGAGATTCTTTTGGATAGAAGGAAAGTGGAAAACTGTCCTATGGCCTGATCACAGTACTTTAAAAAACATCAAGCAAATATAAGAAAAACAATCACTTATTGAATGAGTTGACTGATTGTTGTTAAAAAGTTATACTAGACCATAGTAAAGTTTAAAAGCCTCTCTTTAAATATATGCTGGAAATAAATCCAAAATAGGAATATCTCCATGTAGTGACTGTTTGATTCTTTGTGTTTGATATCTACCTGCGCATGCGTCCTGTGCCAGTAGAGGGCAGGGTAAGTTCACTCTCCTCTGCAGCCTCGCTGTTTTGTGTGCATGTGGAAGCGGAGGAGCGTGTGTTGAAGTCTTTTTAACAAAGATCTTCGACACATTTTGAGTGTGAGAGCGTGTGTGGTTATGTGACAAATTTCAATAATACTATCCATAATTTTACACTCATGAAAACAAGGTATTTATTTGAATTTATAAGAAAGCAATCATTCTGTTGAGCCAAAGCAGCATTTGACAGCCTTTGGCTTTCTTCTTACAAATCAACGTTTCCTGCCTGCTTCATGTTACTTAGTTGGCTCATTTTAGTTTACTAGACTCCCGACAAGATGTCCACCGACTGCCAGAAGACAATTGCCAAGGCAATTCCATCGACCAGGAGAATGCTCATCAACGAGGCAGATCACCTGCCCCTCAACTACTCCTCTACACCTGGGGGGACCCTGTTTGGCACTACACCGGGCGGTATGTACGCACTATAAGTTCAGTTTCACAGAGTGTGGCGGTGCTTTTCACAAGCACGGAACTACACCTGACCTCGTCGACTAAAAGAGCAGCTCTGCTTTGCGTGCAAGCAAAGTGAAAACTCCTGGGAGCTGATGAGGTCTGCTGCAGTCAGCTGGCAGCGCGCTTTGAGCTAGCCGCTAACGCTAGCTACCGCGTCTACGGCTGGAAAACAGAGAAAAAACTAAACGAAAATTACACGTGCAGGGTCCCATTAAAAAAAAAAAATTAACTAAAAGTGGGTTGTTTCGAATACCATGACTCTATTTTGGTGAAATGTGGTGGGTGACTTGAGCCCCGCGCGCTGCAGGTTTCCTTTAACAGTGTTGTCTGAGTCGGAGTCACGTGACGGAATCCTCTGGCGGATCTTTAAACTGCGCGTGCCGATGCACGAGGGGTCTGTGTTTTGCCCGGAACAGCTATAAATCCTGTTAGAGGCCGCTGCTCCAAGTTGGAGCAATTTCTTATTAATGATTTCCTTCCAGAAATATATACAAAATAAAAAGTTATTTGTGTTATGTCCTCTTACCACAGTTTATCATACTAAACATAAAACGGATTATTACTGATGGTGCAGAGGCTTAGAAAGGAATAGCATTACAAATGAAATATTTAGAATGTTATGTAATGCTGAGTTTCACATTTGCCTCTTTGGCATTCCTCCTGAAAACGTTCCTCAGAATGTTTCACAGCAATGGAAAGGGCACATTCTTAGGAATAAATGTATGAAGTCTTTTATTTGAGTTGACCCTCCCCCAGTTTGACCGGTTAGTCACAGGTGTCTCAGACCGGACTGGATGAGTTGAGATAGATAGAAAGATCCCCCTGTCAGGTGTGTTGGGTGAGTGGATTTGGCAGCTGATTCTCACCCAACACAGCTTGGTGAAAAGCCCTGTCGGTTTTGATCTTTTTAAGAGGGTATGATGTGCATATCTTAAACATTCATGTCTCATCAGAGACGTATATTCTGTCTTGTTTATTTATCGAAAAACCAAAGTGAAATGTTAAGATTGGAAACACGTGAAAGCACAAAGATTGCACAGCACATTGAATTATTAAAGATGGGCCTGCTGCCAGTTGCTGACGCGTGTTGGTGCTGAAATCTTGGCAGTTATTTGATTTGTAAGGAAATGTGTTCAAATGCACCGTGCAGTCAGGTTTAAATTTGCTGACAGATGCAGTTTAAACTGTTTTAGACATAAGTGTCTTTTGTCGAATCCAATTTTAGTCGTGCACCAAACAGAAAATGCCCGGCAAGCCAAGAAGGTTGTAGTTCTTTTGAAAATCTTTTAAGAATTTCAAAGGTTATCAAAGATTCTGCAAGGATTCATTAAAAAAGATTAAATCCCAAAATGTGGAGAGGAACCAAAATGTGGAGAGGAACTTTAGAGGGTGAATAGTAATGATTACTCATCACTATTCACAAAGTAAGATGAAATGATAATGAAGGATTATTGCACATTTCTGATTGATTCTCTTTTCTCACGGCCGTCCGCCTCTTAACACAAAAGGTACCAGGATCATCTATGACAGAAAGTTCCTGCTGGAGTGTCGCAACTCTCCATCGGCCCAGACTCCTCCTCAGGGTCTCCCCTGCATTCCAGGGGTGACCAGTCCTCCCTCCAAAGAGCCTGATGTAAAGACGCTGAATGGGGAAGCGCTGAACAACAACAACAACATGGCTGCTCCTGGCAGCAGCAGCACCGGTACTTCTACACCTCAGGCAAACATTAAACACACACATTACAGCTCTGGCTACAACCCTCTCCACTCCTGCTGTTTGGATCTACATATGGCATCAGATCATTAAAATGCTTTCCATTGCTTTTGTAATTATTCAATTTAGTTTTAGAACACGGGGTGTACAGAGAGTATATGGGTACATTTCAGATCATTTCAATTGCACAATATCCAAAAGTCTGCATAGTCGCATCCATTTCATCTTGTAGCCACTTTTATATATTTATGTAAAATTTCTGGCTTTACCACATGTTATTCGACAGTATTTTATCAGTCGGTTATTTAAGCCATCTTTTGTATATATATATATATGTATATATGTATAGACATGTACATATGTATATGCCTTTGTTTTATTTTGCTTATGGAGCCTGTAACAAAAATAATTTCCCTCTGGGATTATCAAAGTATTTCTGATTCTGATTCTGATTGTCCTGATAAAGCTTAGTGATCGATGTTTCTGTCTTGTTTTTTCTAGGTGATGATGCTCAGTTTGAGATGGATATCTAGGTGGAGCTGAACATGCATTACGGTGCTGTGAAAGGAAGGACAGGGGTGCTTCTAATGTTCCATCATTATTTGTATGAAGGCAAAATTTCCTATTTTTCTAAATCTGGCTCTTTCAGTCTATCTTTCTCATTTGGTGGTTTTGCCCAGAAAAAAGCAGAAACTATTTTTCTTTTTGTCTGAGGGCTTAAACCTTATTTGTGACAAAGTGTGCCTTCCGTTAGTGGCTGCTAGTTTGAAATCTACGTTGAGAAGTGCTTCACCCCGACCATGCCTCATCAACCAGCAATGAGAGAAATGGATGGGAAAAACCAAGCCTTGTTCTTTGAACTGACAACCATTCCAGAAGGATCTGTCACTTAATTTTCTCTCTAGATCCTGCCTTCAAATAGTCAGTCGTGCTGTTTAAAGGTGCTCCACCTAAAGTGTTACACAAAGATTTTCAAGCTGAATTTTTTTTATATTTTGAAATGTTTTTCACACAGTTTATTGGGTGACGGAAATCAATAAAGCAAACACTAGTAAACTCACAGTGTTGTCTCTTCTGTCTCGTTTCCCCCTCATTGTCTTTTAATTATGTGTTTTAGTGTTTGCTGTGCTGTCATGTGGGTGGATCTGTACTTTTTTCATAAGCATTTTATGTTATTAACTGAGTTATTTACTGGTTCCATGTTAAGTGGAAAGCTAATAAACATTTCAAAGAGATAAATCTTTCATGACTGGCTTTGCAGGCTGTAACACCTCCTGTGTCCTCTGATTCAGCACAGCACATCAGGGAGCCCACCAGAGCCTGATAACCTCCGTCAGTGGACTGACTAAAGAGGGGTCAATATACAACTGTACAATGCCTGGGAGAAACTCCTTTCTTCCATCTGACATTTCCTCAAGTGGAGGCCTTGTCGATTGGCTTTAATCCCTGTACAATCTTTGAAGAAGCTTATCAAGCATTTGAGATGCTTTGATGATCCTGGTGTTAATGATTAGAATTTATTTAAACAAATAAGCCAGTGTCTAAGTTCTTCATCTTGTGCTAGAAGTATTTATGTTTTTAAAAAAAGAGATGCTTACAAAAAAAAAAAGTAAGAATGCTTAAATGAGTACCAAAGCATGCTGTAAATGACAGGGCCTTTTCAGTACTGCTCCGGATGCTGGAGTAAAGGGGTGCATTTGTTCATCATTGTTGTGATGTGTGAGACTTCTCACTGGATTTATGGGTAACACTACGCTCACATTTGGACCACCAGAGTCAAGGTGCCACCCACCGTTCATTATCACTGAATGTGGTCGTAAACTTCCCTCTGAAGTTAACGGAGGATTTCAGTTCTCACTAACTGAGCATAAAAAGATTTAGGGGTGGCAAAATTAGAAAAAAACAAACCTGAAAAACAATCCTGGTTTCCTCAGGATCCCCGTCTGGTCCAGTCCAGTGCAGTAAGGCGGGGCGGCCTGAATGGTTTCAGAGCAGTTCCACCTCACCTCGCCTTTCCTCCACAGTAGCTTTACCCTTCAGAGCCTTTTCATTCCCTCACATTGCTCTGTTTGTTTGTCTCACCTTTGCTTCCTGGCACTGCAACCCCCCCTACCCTAAGATAAACAAGTACTACTGAGTTTTTTTCTCTTCCATTGATCCAGTGTGGTTTTCGTTGTTCCACCCAACCCGCCCGTAGATCACAATCCACAATGGGAGCCTGGTGAGGGAGGTCAACTAATGACTGGAAGATGTTGATTGGTGCGCTGATAAAGGTAAATACACTAAAATGCCTGCAGCTCAGTAAGAACAAGTTGGATTTAGATACGGATGAGCATCCATGAGGGTGGGGGGAGAGTTTTTTTAATGAAAACATGAAGAACAAATCATGTGTGTTCAACTATTTGGTGTAACTGTCACTGAGAGATTTAACACTAATATTCATGATGCAAGTATAAAGCAAATTAATCTTGAGCAAGTAAGCACCTTTTGGTTTAAGTTGAAACTTAATATGATGTGTTAAAATACTAAAATCACAAAACAGGTCAAAATAAAACATTTTAATAGATTTTTCAGAACACTTATACAAAAATAGACATTATATTATATAAATAGATAAAACATGATACATGAATAAATGCAACAGACATTGAGTACATGGCTGTGTCCTTTAATATTAATATTCATCACCCCTTAAAAATGCTTTTATTGACTATGACTGTGAACTGGTCGCTTCATATCTTAATATTCACTTCATCAGGCCAGTAGCAACACAAAGTTCAAGATGATGGTCAGTTGGTGATGTGGGGGGGGCTTTAGTGGCAGCCACACTCCTCAACGATCATATCCTCATGATGCCGCAGGGTCAGGTCATTGTTCTCGTAGTACAACATGGACAGAGGGCCGAGGCGTACTGGCACACAGGACGGGCAGGACGCCCGGTCTGGATGGTGGTGTCGTAAAAGGCTCTGAAATGAGAATAAGCCAAATGAGTGAATCAGCAGCCAGATTAAAAAAACAAAAAACGAGTATTAGAAAATCCCCGCCCCCCAAAAAACAGAAAAACTCAAATCCTCATCTTACTTGCATGTAGGCGTGGTTGGTTGGATAAAAGGACTCATCCAGCGGCGTGGGGCACTCTCCCTCGCAGCGATAGGCATTGAAGCGCTTAGGATGCACGATCCACTCGTCCCAGCCGATGTGGTCAAAGTCCACCCACATGTCCACTCTTCGACACAGCGGCCGCTGGACCGCTTCCACTTTGGGCGCTCCGGTCGGCACAGCTCCATCAGCAACTCGCATCCTCTCCATCCGGTTCCTCTTGTGTCGGCGACTCTGACCGTCGCTGCTGGCCCTGTCGATGGTCACATACTTGGAGTTCTCAACCGTGAACATCAGACTGTAAGCCGCATGGTCTTCCTGAGGCGGGCGATGTTTGGAGAAGATGACCATCATGACCCGGTTTGTGGTTGGATGGTGGATTTTTCGTTGTTTCATTTCAAAATCGTTTAAAAAGGGCTCATCGCTTCCGGCCCCGCTTCCCCGGTCTGGCTGGGGCTCTCCTGACGCCTCGTGGCTGGACATGCCGTCTTCCTGATACAGCCAGTATTTTAAAAGAGCGGTCACATTGAACACCTTCCAGGAGGACTTTGTGCTGCTGGCAGTGGTGCTAAAAGTGCCTAAGAAAACATCCTCCTTCCGGCACAATGTGCCGTCCAGCTCACAGCTCTGTTTCCGGGAGTGGTATAAATCCACTACGGCGTGCTCTGAGGCCACGAAATCAGGCAGCCTGATCTGAAGTTCTGCCAGCTGGACGAGATCGCTGGTGGAGATGGACGACAGGTCAAAAGTGACCGTCCATCGGTTCCCCACTCGATGACAACCTAAAAACGACACGACGGCATGAGAAATGGACATCTGACGTGAATGTGGGAAAAGCAGATCCCTGGACAAATGTCAAAACACTGGAGTGAGAGGACGAACAGGACAGGATGTGTATTGGAGCCCCCTGTGCAAGGGCGTCTCAGGGCCAATATACAACCGCCCCATATAAAACAGAGCAGGCCTTTAAAGTTGAATAAGCATCTTGACACTTGCTCGGTTGTAAAAAAAAAAAGAAAAAAAAAAAGGGAGAGTTGGGGGTCTGACAGCACAGATAATGCTCCAACTAGGGAGTTGTTGGAGAATATGCAGCGCTGCACATAGACTGGGTGAAAAGCACAATGTAAATGTTTGCTCACCTTTTGCCATTAAACTAAGGACAGAGTCAAAGCTGCGCCCCAGTGGGTCCTCACTCAGGGCAGAGATGGTGTTGACAGCGGGCGCAGAGAAGGAGTCCGTGCTCTTGAAGGAGCGGTACAGCTGCATCATGTACTGAGGGTATCTGCTGCGATGACTGGCCGACAGATGTCTGAGGGCCAAACTGCCGTCGGCCTTTGTGTGATGTCTGCGGGTCCGAGCAGAGAGAACGGCCCCGACAGAGCAGAGGCAGAGCACAGAGAAAAATACAGCCAGGACTCTGGTCCCCATTTTAAGTAACACTCAGAAAGATCAGGGTCCTTCCTTCCTCCAGCTGCTCTCAGGCTGAAATGATGCTGTGTGGAGGCAGAGCTCCAGACAGGCCTTTTATAGTGGACAGCTGCCCTTTGATGACCCCTGACCACACCAGACATCTTAATGGTTCCTCTGATCATCAGAGCACATCACAGGGCCAGAAACAAGAGATTTTTTATCCAAGGTCATTGTCCTGTCAAACTAACTAGTCTTTAATATTCAATCGCAGACCAAATCCTTTTGAAAATTTAGTTCCCATTTACAAAAAGAATCCTTCAATACTTTTGCAGACATTGGCCCATTTTCGTTTCCAAACACAAGTGGGAGGAAAACAAAGCAGCTATGCCAAAAATATTGCAAAAGGCACAATGAAAAGACAAGCCTTGAGGTAATTACATTTTTTATTATCAACAAGATGCAACAAATCTCCAGTTGTTACAGCCAATGAGGAATATAGAAAGCACACACCTGATTTCCTGCTGTTCACAGTATGCATGTGGTTAAATGGTAGTTTTAAAATCATAGTCATTTACCCTAAAGTGATTCAAATACAGGCAATGTTGTTAGAAAAAAGGACTATTTCTGCAGAACATAAAACTACACTGTCAGTTCAATAACTTTGGATGGAATAACCCAGTATTGAAAAGTAAACGTGCACAAAAACAGGTAAAACCGAACTCCATTTCATTGATGTGGTCCTGTGGGGGCCTTAGCTTATGAAAAAAAAAAGTATTTATTTTTTCCTCTGTAAATCTCCCATTCATGAAAGAGGCTCAGTTGACAGTAGATGACCATCGTCTCATAAAGTATTGAAGAAGTTCTTCACCTGTGTGTGAAAAGGTACTTTAGGATCATAGAGTGAAAAGAAGAAACACATGAAGCCTCACACAGAAAAGTGAGTCCACCAGGGCAGACTTTGAAACAGCTCCCCCATGTGGCTCACTCTGGTAACAGCAGCCTTTAACTGGGCATGAGCCTCCATCAGAGGGACGTACCTTTGCAGTAAACTGCTGCTGCACCTCTGGATCGGTCAGGAACTCCACACTGGCATCCAGATGTAAGACGGGTATGTTTTTCAACCTCTCAAAATGTATCCTGAGAAAAGAGAGGGCAAGTATTAGATTAGCAGACCGGAACATAACACACACTGCAGACCATCACCCAACACCTATTTTAGCTGATTCAACAGATCATATGACTTACCGTCTTACAGTAATATCTACTCCTTTACAGGTCAAGCTGAGGTAAGTGTATGATATTATTAAGCCGTATGTGTAAAAAAAAAAAACAGTGCAGGCATGTGAACTCATTCACACTCACTCTGTGCTTTTCTCCACCAGCCACCTCTCATGTTGAGCATGCAGCTTGTCCAGATACTCCAGTTTCACCTCCTTCTCTTCTGACCTTCCCCGACGCTTCAGGCGCTCTATACATTTCTGAGAAGCACAACATTAGGTACCGAAACACCTGCAAAGTGTTGAGTTGAGATCTGCAAGCCATGTTTTGTGTCTGCACCTCAGGAGAGGCTCTGAGGTAAATGATGCCCTCCAGCTCCACCTGGTGTCCAAACTGCTCCACCAGAAGGGAATGCCAGTCCTGGTAGACGGCCCACTCTGTTGAGTTGATGCAGCCCAGCTCAAACATATTCAAGGCAAAGATGTATCTGACAAGAAAGAGTCAGGTTTAATTGGTGTGTCATACTGTTACCATCTACAATACTATGTAATACAACAACTAATAATACCAAAGGTAAATCAGTCATAACCTATTTTAAGGAACTGTGAATTAAGCCCAGCCAAAAGTCCCTCCCTCACCGGTCACTGTAGATGGAGCGCTCATACACCTGGACAGGTGTTCCCTCAGAGCGCAGCAGGCGAGCTGGGGGGGGCTGGAGCTGTGTTCTGAGCCGGCTCATGCAGGAATGAGTTTGAAACGTGTACGACCAGCGCTGAGGGTCCTGGTACATCATCTGCAGCAGGTTGCTGACTGTGGACTGGGCCGGTGCATTCTCCTTCTGTCAGGGACACCAGCAGGGAAACAGAGGACATATGCTTCACCTTATCTTACGGAACACAATACTTTTTTTTCCCCTTTAGAACAAAGGCCTGAAGACTGTGCTCACCTTTGAGGTCCCACCCTCAATGTTCTGCCACTTGTTGACAGGCTCTGTCATCACTTCCCAGTCTGGACAAGCAGACTGAAGGAGTTTTGCAAAGCTAGATTTACCAACAGCTGGAACAAACATGTAGTACAGATGATCCCAACTAATCCTCACAGATTAGCACACTAGGTTTCTTTAACAAAGAGAGAATTGCTCTTACCAATGTTTCCCTCGATAGAAACTCTCTTCACGGGAGATGCTGCAGTCGCAATCGAACTTGACAAGCATCGTGTGCAAGACAAATGAGAGCTCCCCCCTATACTAGACATTACACCGGGGACCCTTATTGTCGGTGGAGTAACGGTGCTTCCGCGTCGCGTGAAGCTGTAGAATGTCCTCCTCTGTGCGTGTGTTAACCTGCCTGCTTGTGTAAGACCTGCTAGGTGTTTAAGTGAACCAAAGGAAGTGAACGAAGCAAGTCGCTGGAGCGCAGGCATCATGAAGAACTTTCTGTGTAACGCTTACCTACGTCACTCGGTCCTCCGAGAGCAGTTAGTACAACACAACAGACATCCCCACGCGTAAAGTCCGTTTAAGCTAGCTCACCTCGTCGCTAAAGTATATAAACTTCAGTATTATTGGTCATTACAATGAATAAAATTCTATCTTTTTTATTTTTTACAAAAACTGGTTTAATTGTTCCCTACAACGCCGGCATGCTCATGTTGTGAATAGTGTTTGGTTGAGAGCATGTTCGAAAGTCAAACTTGACATCAGACGCTTTGACCGTAGCTTTAGCAACAGCAAGCACTTCCGGTTCATATGCGGCCCCTTCCACATAAAAGCCTTTTTTACACTTCATATTTTATCTGGAAATCCGGAAGTACTCCCCATGTGCAGGAAGTTAACGTATAAATTGTCAGACAAGAGTTTGGTGCCAATAAACATATAAAATGAAAGGGTTAAAAAACTATATCAAAGGGCAACAAAAGGCATATTAAATGAATAATAAATAAAAATGGTATTAGGGTTAGCTGTTTAGAAAAATGTGAAAACATCTATTTTCCCCCATTAAGTATAAAAAAGACTTTAATTTATAGAATGATTTAACCATTATGCTTTCTATTACAGCATGAAAAAAACCGAGCTGTACCTACTAACTTGAAAGAATATAATTCAAAAGACCACGACAAAGAATCGTAACAAATTTTAATAATGAAGTCACAGCAATTTCAAAATCCATTCTGAAAAACATGCACCATTTACATTTAGTAGTTAAGTAGAAAACAGTGTATTTATGCACTTAATTATTCTTTTTCCCAAATTTTACTATTTAAGGCCCTAAATAAATGATTCCAACAAACAATTTAAGCATAATCAATAAAGATAATACAAAACACTTGAGATTGTAGTGCTTCTCAGTCACGTGTGAATTACTTCCTTATCATCAGTAGCTTGTGTTCTTTATGGTAATCTTTTGGGCCTCCTCAATCTTAAAATCACTGATACCTGTAGAAGAAAATATATTTTTGTGTTAACTAAAGTGAAATGAAGGCAGAACAAAGAAAAGGTGAATTAATAGATGTGTAATTCCTCACCCTGAGTGAGTGCAGTGCCATCAGAGGCGAGGTGCCAGTATCTGCGGTCACTTTGTCTTGCCTGCTCATCATTTACTGCACTTAAGAAAGGTCCCCACAGGCTGGATTCAATTTCAAACCTGCCAAACAGCATCCGAAAATTATCCACTGCAGTGAAAAAAACTGGCACCAAAACACAGTGGCTCATTACTTGAACTCACGTGAAGCCAACATTTTTCCCTTTGAGCAGTTCAAGGGCCTCCAACAGTGAGCTGCCCTTTGGCACATCCACAGAGTAAAGGGCTGTAGCTCTGCTGGATGTCACCACTTCTACCATCACTTTCACTTTGGTCTTGCTTGGTAAAACCACTACGGGGTCCCTTGGTTCCAGCACCAGAGTGTCTGCAGGGGGGCAAACACATTAAGAAACATAGTGAAAATACAGACGCCAACAGAAATAAGAGATGCCAAAGGAGGCAGAAATCCTGATGCACATACCATCCTCATTGAGGCACTCCTTGTTCTTAACTGACAGGTAGGATTTCTTGTGGAGAGCTGGCAGTGTTTGGGAAATGGCCATTGGGTTGTGGTAGATGTTGCCTCTGGCAGCTGTTCTCATGGCCTCCATGGAGGCAGCACACTCTGCAACCTCACTGCCCATTGCTACTAAGGCCTTGGACACATCAAATGTGTTGGTGAAGCTTCAAAAACACTGCTTTAACGTGGAGACATACAGGTACGATGAACAAAGAAAAGACTAAAGACTTCTTACCTGCACTGCAAGACCAGTGCTAAACTCGTTACCAATATGACCATCACTCCGACGAGAAGCCAAAAGCTTCTGCTTGATCAAGCTCAGAGCTGCATCAAGTTCGGCTGCACTGTGCACGTAAGAACCAGAGTCCTTCACACACTGCAATGCCATTCCAGCCATGGCGTACGTATCTAGAGAGAAAAGTAGAATTAAATATTAGTGTAATAAAACCTTTTCATCATTAAACTTGAAACTTTAACACTGTCAGCCCTCTAGAGGGTTGTAATAATCTCTAAATAAAGGGGAAGCAGAGTTTAAAGAACAAGTGACAACTTGCACTAAAAGGAACAACAGGAGAAAGATGGTTTCAGAACAGAGGCTGAGGTTTAGTATGCAGTATCATAATATATAAATAAGATATTGCCTTAAATATACTGCTCAGATTTTTTCCCCCACAGTTAAACATTTTAATTTATTGATTATGATGGAATGCACTCTGTGTACTCTCGGCACATCAATTTTACCATACAAAACAAACATGCCGAGGCATGTTTTACTCACCAACACTCTCGGTGTCTCCATGTTTGAAGTTCTCATTTTCTACTGCTTTGATGAGCTTGTGGCTGACGTGATTATTGACCCTGATGCTGCTCACACAAAGAGCGAGCACGCCCAGACTGTACTGGTAATAGTTGGTCAAAGGGCGATGACTGACTGCACAAAGCGAGAAAAAGAACATTTTCACCAAACTGCTATCAACACGGGACTTCAGTAAAGTTTGAGAAACTTTCAAACTATCATCATGGCTTTTATTTGAGCCAGTGAAAACAGGATTCTTGGAAGTTTTATGACAACTGAAAGGTCAAAGGAAACCATACAGGCAATGTGCTCTTTCTCTTGCTCCATCTGCTTCTTCAGGTGTGTCAGCAGCGTCTCGCTCTTGTCATTTACGCTGAAGGTGATGGTATTGAGATCATAGCAAGAAGACTTCAAAGCCAGACTGTACAATGCCAAGAGTCCAGTCACTGACTGGCTATTCATGAGGGAGCTGAGAGGCAACAGAGCATAAAAGTGAAGCAAAGGCATCAGAGAAAAAATCTGTAGATATTCTTTTTTGGGGGTGGGGGGCAATACCTTTGAATGTCAGTGTGTAAATCACTTTTCAGTCTATTCAGGTGTTCATTCTCCTTAGCAAGATTGTGGTAATTAGAAAGACGAAGTGCCAAGTGGACACTGGGATTGGGAAGCCCATCCAGACTTTCCAGAGAACGAAGCAGATCCTTGTTGAGGGACAGGAGCAGTTCACGGTTGGACCCTTCTGTTTCTGGATTTAAGTTTTATCAGAGAAAACAGTAAAAACAATTTGACTGAATTAACAATTTTCTTACAAAATTAACTATCACCTCTATTGCTGACATCAGCACGGACATTCAAAGAATAACAAAATATCCAATGCTGAATCAGCAGTTGTGATAAAAAACCATGGTCAACTGACATGTTTGTGTTTAATTTCCAAAAAGAACAATCTGTTCCCAGTTTGTATTTAAGACTGAATGTCCTTAGTTAAGTCTAGCGAAGCTATACTTTTTTCACAAAGTAAATAAAATGCAACATGTCCTCCAAAGGCAATTGCAAAATCTGTGAATTTCCAAAATGGTGAGTCAACATGTGTGCGAACTGAATTTCATCAGTTTCATTTCATCAGTTTTTTTAATCTAATGAGAGCTTTCTGATATCTGGTTTAATTTCTAGGTAAAAGTGTCTATGTCTTTTAAGAAGGTACTTACCGCATGGTTTGCTGGAGGTAAAAGCCAACAGGCTTGTAATTATGACCAAAGACAGCATTCTGGAAGTACTGGTTACAAACAAAGTTGCCAAAAATATTCAAATAACAAATCTTATATAAAAATGAGAGAACAAACACAGAAAATGTACACACTATAAATCTGAGATAACAGGTTTGCAAAGACTACAGTACTATAAACTGTAGCTGTCCAACATTACTGAAATACAGCAAATGTTTAAGTTTTAAGTTTAAGTAGCCTTTAGGTGTAGTTACCTCCTCAGCGTTCAGCGAGAAGAATCAGAGCTGAGTGAGGAAACAAGCAGAGACAACAGCTTGCAGTATTTCAGTGTCACATGACTGGTCATTTGAGATGACAAAACGATGTAAAGCTGGATGGTACCGTCAAAAACCAGCTGCGTCTGAACATAAACAGGAAGCTTTAAAAAAGCTTTATCGGGATTGGTTGGGGGTGCTGCAAGCATGTTAAGGTAAATAGCCAATCAGAGACCGTTGAGGGGTGGGCTATGTTGCTGTGTCTTTAAAAAAAACAAAAACGCAATATAGTTAGATAGAAAAAATGAAAAGGGTAACTGATATGTATAGATATTTGCTATATTGGTTGTCGGTAATTGAGAGACTGAATGCATGTGAATGCTTTTAACTAGACTGGAAATTTCACAGAGCATTTGCTCAAAGTTACTACATTACCCACAATTCCCTGCTTTTCTGAACGTAACTTACGTACTTTCTAGAAAGTTGACGAGCATTCCAAGCCACTCCGTTTTTTGAGAATCGCTAGCTAGTAGTAGTAGTGTGACCCAGCCTTCTTCTCTACCAGTTCACCCTTTAGAGGCAGAAAGTCTTGGTGCTGCTCTGTTAATTCGCTAAGAGTTGCTAAACTTAAACTAACACCTTTTTTCAGTCCTTATGGGAGTATTGAAAAGGAATTACTGAACTGAGTGGAGGCGTCCAAGCAAAAACATCGACAACAACAACAAACAGCAAGGGGCAGTGCAGTTGCACAGGTCGGTGTTTAATGCTTGATGTTGTGACTTAATTCATGCAAAGATATTGTTCAGCAGAGGGACGAAGATGTCGTTGTGCGTTACCTCGCAAGCTAAAAGAGCTAGTCTGATCCAAAACACCATGCTAACGGCAAAATGCAACAGTGGCGTTGCAGCTAGAAAAAAAGCCAGCAGGCAGGGTCCGTGTGCACCGAGGTGTCCGTCGTGTGTGTCGCTGACCATACCTTTATCAGCTTAACTGATTGGTATCAATCTGATCTTTCAGATCAGCCCCCTTGTAGTTATCTTTCCCCACACATCTTCACCACGCCTGGATCAGCATGCATCACCCTGGCTCCTCAAGCAGTGCAGTGGGGTTTCTGCCAGCCATGTATGCATTTTCAGGCCCCACCAGCGTGCCTGAATTTGACTTCGGACCTCTGAGTTCATCTGAACGCCTGCAGGGAGCAACCAACTCCAACAAGTACGTAACTGACGGGGATGATGGATGTAAACAAACATCCTGTATAAAAAAATAATCCAACACTCTTTAAAACATTTTAATCTGAATTTGACGTGTGTTTTCACTAATCTGTGTGTGTTTTGTCCTCCAGCAGTTGGGACACAAGATGCCACAGAAAGCACAAGAGGAGAGCTGATGATGAGTGAGTGATTCACAGTAAAACGTTGGATTTTGCCTGTTGCATCCTGACGAGGAGTTTTACGTCTCCTCAGGGCATGCTGCGCCAAGAAGAGGAAGTTAATGTCTGAGGCTGAGGTGGACTTTCCAGAGAACTCCAGCGCTCAAAATGACTGGCCTGCAGGAGACAGCAGTCCGTCTCCGTCTGCGCGAGACCCCCCCACTCAGCCCTTCTCTGTGCCACAGCCCCCGTCTGCCCTGTCCCAACCCGAAAGCGAGAACTTCTGCATGGAGATAGAGGCAGCTCACAGGAAGCTGCAGGAGATTGAAGACAGGTATGCAGATGTTGTCTAACAACAGGTACCTACAGATCAGTTACACCTGGAATTAGCACATCCTGGAACCTTTTGTTTGCTGGTAAAATGAGATAGAAGTAAAATTGTATCCCAGGCTTTATGGAGACTCAGGGTTTATAGATACTCTGTGTTTGACGCCATGTGAATGTCATGATTCAGATTTAAAAGACAGATCATCGCATTATAACAAAATTAGTGCTGTTGATGTTAACTGTCAGTGGAGTGAATGAGGTATCCAATAGGTGAATGTAGTAAGTGGTCTGCAAAAGGAATCCTCTTGGATTTACCTGCAAATTGAAACATTTCACTGACGGTTACCATATCTATTTAGGGCGCTTAGTGGTGGTGCTTGGATATCAGCATCATCATCATCCTAAACACGTGGTGGCTTTGAACCACACGTTGCCCTGCGTTATTCTGAGTTATTGTGGGTTATTGTGAGTTATTCTGATATGGATGTATTGTAGAATAACACTTGAAGATGACGATGAGGATGAAGATCTGGATATCGAGCCAGCTCAGAGACGGCCAGTGCTGGTCCTTTCGGACAGTCTGAAGGAGGGTCTGCAGCGAGGGATCAGCGACATCCTCCCTCACACCGTGGCCCAATCTGTGTACGTGCTACTTTTGAACTGTAATAGATTAGAGTTAGCAGCAACTCTAAAATTGGGTGTCACCTGAACATATTTTTATTTCTTTCCCGAGGCTCTGTAGAACTGCACCCACCCCCTCGTGCGTTTTGCCTCACCTGTGTCCCCCTGATACATTTCAGGAGCCATTCGGGCATGGAGTTGGTGCTGTGGCGTCCTCCAGAAGATCCCTTTTGTCGGCGGCTGAAGGGCTCATTACAGAAGCAGCGTAAACAACAGACAATGTGCCGCCAACACCCGACTCCCTGTCCGTCCCCCGCCCCCCACAGGCCCCTCAGCCCCCCCAGTCCGCCCCCAGACACACCTGCTCCTCTGTACAGTTTCCCTGTGACCCGCAGCTCTGGAGAGGAGGACATGGAAATGTAACCGTGCCTTCATTACACACAAAGCCAACGTCAAAGAATAAGAGCGGTGGACCTTGAAATGCCACTTTGGTGTTTTGTGCAACAGTTGATTGTTTTCTGACTTCGATTGGAGACAACTACATGTAACATGTAATAACTCTCCAAATCAAAACATTTCTTCAAGCTCTGTTCACATTCATCCTCCGACATCTCATTTGGTACAGCTTACAGGTTTAAGAGTTGCTTGTAAACTAGGTTATTTTGTACATAACAGACTTGTCAGCTAAACTGGACTGTGGATTGGACTTTCCTCTTTGCTAAAGATCAGTGTTAATCATCTGGACTTTTACTTCAGAACACTAAAAGCTGGTAAAATTTTCTCACAATGTGACTTGTCAATGTATGTCATCCATGATATTTGATGAATTCATAAAGGGGGGGGGGGTCATTTTTTCCAATGACAGCCATGAAGGGTTAGAACTTTTTATTTGTTTTGTAATAAATGTATATTGTTAATGCAAGTGGATGTCAGAGTTGAATTTTTGAATCTTTTATGTGAGCACTTGGACCTTTGTAACATGCAGCATATGAGGAAGCGTACGGCTCCTGGGACAGCTGGGATAGATCGGAACGCCTTAATTTGTGCCTTTCGTACACGTGTAAATGTTTCTTCATGGACTATAAAGGTATGAAACAATAGATAATTAGTGACACTAAATGAAAATCTTTACTGTGTCAGTTTTTATAATGACATGGCCATTAAAAAAAGCAAAGTGGGAAGGAAAAAAAAGCCAGTTCAAGTTCAAACCAATTCATTTTAATTTCACTTTCCTGAAATGAGAAATTATTACATATTACCTCTGAAGGACTTGTCAGTTTTATGAGGTAGTTTGTCAAATCTCACATGATCTTCACTCCCCGTGGACGTGTCAGCTCATCACTCATTCACACCTCACCGTGCCCATGGGCCTTAAAACTCTGACTACCTCAGCACAGAGAGAATGTGACCTCGGTGACCACACTGTCATTTGTCACTGTGACCTGCTTGTTAACCTGCTATCTTCTGCAGCCGTAACCCTGATCCCTGAACCCTGACGCATATTGCGGAGGCGGAAAAGCTTAAAGGAACTATAGGGACATTTTTAAGGCCATCATAATCCCTGGTGAGAGCTCAAACACAGAGTGAAGGGTTTGGTGCCCTTTATTTCGAGGGCTGATTCAAAATCCCAGCAACGTCTCCACCCTGACAGATCTGTGGGAGACATCAGTTTAGACTGTTACTGTTACTCAAAATGAACCATACAGGTAGTAATTTCAATAAACCTGATCTCTGTAAGTAATTGAGTCAACAATAACCTGCTTTCGATGGAATGCACCCGCTGCTCTAACGGGGGATCCTGACAAATCTAAAGGCGTTGCATCTGGGGGAGGTGGGCTGCGCATGAGGGCCAACATTTCCACACGGAGCTGCTTCACCCGGCTCTGGAGGTAACGCAGAAGCTTGTATGAAGCCACGTCTGATGGGATGTGGGCCGTAGAATTCACGGCATGGGCGGACAGAGAGCAGAGAGCTTCCTGAGGGGAGGGCACAGATACTCTGTTCACGTGTTCATTAAAAAAAATACAAAAAGCATAGTAAAAAGCATGTGTAAATGCTTACACAGCATTTACCTTGGGGTCTCTTTCGAGCCTTGCATCTTGAGTCCTTGACTCTTTTCTGGAAAACAGGAAACAAACACAAAGAGTAAAAGTGAGTCCTATTCTTGGAGGGAGTGTGCAATCAACTTGGAAAATACACAGAGGTGATTTACCTGCCCCTCATCAACTGGGACTTGCACCTGTGGCCAAAGAGACGTGCAAACGTCAGAATCTTTTAAGTTGTGTGGATTAACATGTGGAAGATTTAGAGAATGTCGTTCTTGCCTTTCCAGTTCGGCGGTCAGCTCCTCTTCAAACGTGCACGCCAGGCGAGCTGCAGTCCGCTGCTTCCACTGAGCCATGCCCATCTGGAGCCGCCGGAGCTCCAGGTCTTTGTCCTGCAGCTGCCTGTGCAGAGACACCACCGCCCCCCCTCCATCAGATCCTCCATCAGATCCTCCATCGCTGGTGCGAGCCCGTTTAAAACTGCTCAACTCCTCAATGTGTTCCTGATCAAACAGGAGAAGCATTTTGGCTCATTCATGTCTCATTTTTGGTGCACAAACACTAACGTGGGAAAGTGGCCAGCTTTCAACCTGAATGAGGCGCTCTCTGAGAGAATCCAAAGCTCGATCTCTCTCCACTGTCAGCTGCAGCCTTTGGGCGTTCAGTTCCTGCTCCTGACAACAAAAAAAGAAACTTAAAAAGAACTTAAAGACGCGTGCTTGTGCCGATTTCTCTCAGGTGGCAAACTCCGCTCCGTACCTGGTCTTTTCTCAGCTGCTCATTGGTCTGTTTCTGTGAATCCAGCTCCTGCTGCAGGCGGTTAACACAAAGCTTCAGCTGCCCCCGTACTGTCCCCAGCTGTGCGAGAGCATCAGCTACTGTAAGACTGTGCAGTACAAAGGCCTTAGTACAAGGAACGAATCTTCAGATCTCTTCAAACTATTCATTTCTTTCTGTAGCAGAAAAGTGTGTAGGTCAGAGCCTTAAACGGACCTGGGTGGTAGCTCCCTCTGCTGTGCACCACTTTCACGCTCCAACACCGACACTCTCTGATAGAATAAGAGGAAGAATGCAACAAGAATAACACATTCACATCTATTTAGAATCATGATCTTTTATATGTTTATGAGTCAGCTTACGGTTTTGAGTTCCACCACTTGATGCTGTAGAGCCAGTGACTCATTCATCTGACCCGTCAGGCTTTCCAAACTGCCCCTGCTCTGCCCCTCCTGTGTCCCACAGGGCATCTGCATAATTTCTGCCTCGCACCTCCTCCTCTCCTCCTCTGGTGTTTTATGTTCCTGGATGAGAGTACAGCAAGTGTGTCATGCTGGAAAACCCTGTACACATTAAAGATTATCAAAGTACTTTTTCCATGGTTTCATCATGTAATTTCTTTTCATGTTTCAGTTCCTCTGTCTCTTCCTGTTGAAGAACCATCTTAGCTTAGAAATGTCCTCTTCTTTAAGAGGCCACGTGAGAGGGGATAGGTCTTTGTATCTGGTGTTGTTACACAATTCACAGCATATGCTGCTTCTCATAACACAAAAATTCAGATTTGTTGACTCTGACAGGACCCAGCAGTACAACAGGGTCTGTGGAGGTGGATTTTCACCTTCAGGTTCTACCTAATCTGAATGTGAGTTTGCATGGACCCAATGTGTGTTGTGTTAGTGACAGAGTCTATTAATTGTGCCTCATTAATGAAAGACAAAGTGACTCTAGTAGGTCTTGAAATTTACGAGAAAATGTATTTTTGAACTAGGATCCCAAACTCTCACCATCGTTGTTTGGGCTTGCTCCTTGGCTTCCCTTAGCTCTTCATAGAGTCTGTTTTTCATGTGTTGCAGCTCCCCCTTCAGTTCATCTCGTTCTTTTTGCAGTTCCTCACAGTGCTGCCGTAAATCGAGCAGCTGTAGCTCCTTCTGGGACATAACTTGGTCCAGAGTCTCAACCCTGAACTTACACTGTCTCAGGTCACGCTGCAACTCGCTCACTTGAAGCTCGAGCAGCTAAGAGGTGTAACACAGACGACAACACAAGAGACCGTAGTTAACTAAAACAGTTTAGACTGTAAAACAGGAATTAAAACAAAAGGAAAGCAATGACTGAAAGTTTTCGCCCATTAGAAATAGCAAACAAAGTAACAAAATAACTAAGGTTCAGATTTATGCTTTGGAACTGGATATGAAAAACTGGTATTAAGAATCTTTTAGAGGTAAAAGCGGGAAGGAGCTGTGCTGTGAAACAACTTTTACGCAAAGACACTGACACAAATATAAACACAATACAGGAAAACTCTGGGAAAGGCTCATTCAAGGCAAGGTGCTGCAAGAGCTCTAGCATCTCATACCAAATTGGCCTGCTAGCAGTTAAAAGGTGTCAACTAATGAAAATAGCAGGAAAAAAGTAAAGCAATATCGACTGACAAGAACTGAAAAAACTTTAAAGCATTATATAGAGATAAAGCAACATTTTCCCATCCAAAGTTCATAATCTGAGATGTTTCCTTCTTACTGAAACTACATAAATATTAGATTCATACATTGTTTTACACAATGTAAACTTGCTTAAAAACAGGGCTGTGCATGAAAAACGTGTAGATATAATCAGCACAACGAGAAAAAAAGGGTCACCTCAGTACGTTCCTTTTTCTGCCTGTGTGCGTCCTCCAGAGCAGCACACACGTTTCTCAGTGAGCTCTCTGCCTCTCTGGACCTGTGGAGCTCTTCACGAGTCTCTTCCAGCCTCTGTTCACAGGTCAGAGGTCAAGGCAGGCTGGTAAAGACTGTACTGTTTACTGAACATTGGGTGGATAATCACTTAGTTTTTTTTGTCATATTCATACTTAACCTCTTGGAGTGACCCGATCTGTTCTCTTGCAAGTTGCTGTTGAACTAAAAGTTTGCACTGACACTCCACTTCCTCACGCCCCAGTACTGGCTTCATCTGTTGGTGGAAAGAAAAAGTGGTCGGAACGAAGTGTATATTAAATCTAAAACAGAAAAGAGAGTCTTAATGTTAATGTTAAGTTTGAGCTTTACCTTGTTGAAACAGGATCCATCCTCCAGGTACTGCTTATGCTGACACAACATGGCGAGCTCTTCTCTGATATCTCTAATCTCGAGGAGATAAGACTCTCTCTGCCTCTGCAACGTCTGTAGCTGGCATCTATAGAATAGTATTGAAATGTTTTATCGTCTAAAAGCCATTTCTTTTACTTAACGTTTACAAAGAATTAAGTTCTTTTTTATGCTGATTTCATACCGGACTGAATCCCTCTCAGCCCTGCTGTCTGTCAGACATGACTCCAAAGTCTTCTTCTCCTTCTCCATGAGTGTGATCTCTGCGGCCAGTCGCTCCGCTTGCTGCATAGCATGCTGGGAAATAAAGTATCAATCGTGATCATTTGGGAGTCTACAGAGCAGAGCTTTCATGTCTGGTAATGCAGATGCTACTGTACCCTCCTTTTCTGTCTGATTTCAGACAGGCAGCGTTTTACATCTTTTAACTGAATCTTCCTCAGCTGTAGTGTGTCCTCCTCTTCCTCACATTTCTAAATCAAACACGAGTGAGCTCAGCAACACCTCACATCTTCATAATTAGAGTTTATAGGACGTATAGAAAATAGTTTCTACCAATACAATAAGATCAAAACATTAAAAAAGGAAAACTATATCTTTACAAAAGGTGAATTCTTACAGTTCGGAGGTTAAAAAGTCGATCCTTCCTCTGAATCACATCTGACTGCATCTTCTCTGATGTCTTCACAGTCCCGGATGTCCCTCTCCAGTGGTTCACTTCCTCATCAGTTTCCTTATATTCCACTGGACTACAAACAAACCTTGGACACAACAATACATAACAAATAAGTCCCACTGCTTCATTTATCTTGTTAAAAATGAGTAAGTGGCTGCATTAAAAGGAAAATGTGTAGTAAATGTGCAGTATATTTAAAAACCCTCCTCCTTTTACCTGCAACTTTCTCTCCTGCTACTGTTCAGCTTGTGCTCAGGAAATTTGCTGTTCTGAGAATGTCCACAACAAGGACTCCTCACTTTAAGATTAAAGACAAATACAATTCAATGATTGTTTGTTTCTACTAAAAGTGATAAAAAGTTCAGACCTAACTTCGTATTTACCTATTGTTGACTGAGGCTCACTGTCCCCCTGTGAAGGTGTCTCAGAGTCACTCTGGTCAGTGCTGTGGTCGTTCAGGTGTGGTACTGGCTGCCATCCTTTTGGGGATAATATATATTTTTTAAATTAGTTTCTTTATTTTTCATGTATCACAGTCTCACTGTTGTTATCATCTTTTATAGTTAACATGTCAGCCTCCAAAAATGACAAAAAGTGAATAAAAATGCAAACAGTGTGTGAAGGATAGGATGTGAGATGGAGAATCTTGGCCATGGGGATGTACCTACCACTGTGATCATGAGCAGGCTTCTGCTGTGCTTCTCTTCTCTCTGCAGCCTCCGTTTCCTCTCTACCTAAGAACATATTCCCTCTATCGTCAGAGAGACGTTTCCTCTGTTGCATCCTCTGACCGGGATAGATGGACTGAGAATGGTCAGATGTCTCTGTGGCCGTACTGCCACTTTCAGCAGCCTCTGATCCCCCTCCCTCAGCACTGGGGGCATTTTGATAGCTGTCCTTTTCTTCCTCTGTTAGTTGTTGCATAGTGTCTGGGAGCACCAGCATCTCTTCTCTGAAGCGGTTGAAAAAGTCCTCGGTGCAGATGCTGTCTGAAGGAGGCTCTGTTTCCTCTGCTATATCTCTCTCCTTACACGTGTCTCCAAGCAGCCGCTCCAGCCTCCAGATGACCTGCTGTCTCCGAGACTGGGTTTCCTCTTTCTCATTTCTCCTTCTGTCAAGCCTCATTTTGGTTTCCTTAAGACCATCTAAGCAGCCTGTCATACTCTCTGGGGAAAAGCAGTGGAGCCATTGTGTGTGTTAGTCTAGTGGAAAAAAAATATGAATCTGTTGCATTAAAAAGGTTGTATTTAAGGGAATTTTTTTGCTAAGAAGCATGAATAACCCAAAATTCTTTTACGTGAAAAATAAAGCATTTAGTTTATTCCTATTATAGGTTATTGTACAGATGTTATACTACCAGACATTGAAGTGTTCTTCAAATCATGACAAGAAAGTGGAGAATCGTCCATTGTTGTACTTCCAAGGCCTGTGACTCCGCTCAGAGAGCGATTCCAACCAGGAATAGCTTAAATAAATAAATACCAAAAACATTGTCATTATTTGGCATACTATTTCATATCAGCCAAAGGTCAGTAAAAGTTTATGATTACCAGCATTGTTGCGGTCATGTTCTCCGAAAACTCCGACAGATTTAGGTAGCTGCAGCTACAAATAGTAAAAGGTCTGGCTTAGAAAAAAAGTGCTTTGAGAATGCATGATAAATAAATTGAAAAAAAAGATCATTTCAAACCTGAAGCTGGTCAAGCTGTGCATCTATAGCATCTACTAGGAGGTCACAATGGTCTAGTTTGGGAGGCAGACAGTCCAGCTCAAGCACACTGCAGTTTCCAATCAGATCTGTGTTCCACACGGGGTGGATGTTGGTTAACAGGTGCAAACTTACAGAAATGACCAACACACAGTGCTTATATAAGCTCTCACCAGTGTAAAGAAAGGTGTGTGTTTCCTCTCCGTCTTGCTCTGCTTCACCGTGGCCCTCCATCCCTGATAGCTGCGCACCAGTTGGAGGCTTAGCAAAGCTGTGGATTCCCAGTAAGGACTGGTTAAGGCTGACCGGACAGCTAGGTAGGGGGGTTTGTGTTACTCAGTTGTCCAGGAAACCGAGTCCGTTGGTTTTGTTTAGCAAGCTTCTCACTAAGGAGACTATAAAACCCACCCTGTTTCCATGTGCCTCTCACCTCTTAAATAAAAATTAAGGTCAGAAGATGGAAAAATAAACCGACAAAAAACTCCAAAGAGGAATTATCTGTCTATAAAACTCTTTTCTGAAGAAACTTTTACAGTTAATCTTTCTTTAGTTGCTATTTTAAAATGAGCAGAACTCTGATTTAATTTGTTTGTGAAAATGCATGTAAAAACTATATAAAAACATTTCAGCTACATGTGCGATTTAAAAACTATCAACACTTACTATTGTTTAATAAAAGGAGGAAACTCCCAGTCCCAGCCGAGCGGCTGCTGCTCTGGCAGGATGATTGATGGGACCTTCAGGTTGCCATGGTAATGTTAAAACAGTTGCCAAGAATATTGTTTCTTTTATACTTCAGTATCCTTATGGTGTCATCATTTTACTGCACATCACTGTTTTAAGGAAGACAACAACAAAAAAAAGTCCCCTTATGTATTCAGAGAGAGCTAAAAATTCACTGCTGTGGTCTTTACATGTTTAAACCAACTTTATATATACATTTCATTTTTAAAGGATCCCTCCAATTTCACTTGAAATACATTAAAACACACACATTCAGTGTCAACAATAACAATTTTATTATCTTAATTTTTTCATCATTGTGTCTTTGTTGTTGTTGCTTAAAGACGATGTTATACAAGTATAAATTGAGGGAAAAATACACCATTTAGAAAAAAAGAAGACCTCTTTTGAATTTGTAGTTACACCTGAATACACCTGTGTGTATTTGGATAGTAAAAGTAAAGGCAGGTCAATGATCTCCCCCTCGCACGTGCCAGGCCACTGTAGTGATGCGTCTCATGACTTCCACCATCACACAGATCATCGTTTCACTACACAGCTGTGAGTCCCAGTCCACAGAGGAGCGGGGTTCAGTTAAGACAAGGCAAGAAAAAAAATTAAAATCACATTTTCATCAATTTCCTTCAACCCTCAAAGTTGAGCAGCATCTAATGAGGAGGACGTGTGCATCCTGCCTGCACACACACCGAGCTCATAACGCAAACGGATGGCAGAGAATAATGGCACCCGTGAGAGGGAAGGAATCTGCACAGACCATAAAAACAGAAAAAATAAAGCTTAAAGCCACACAGGTGTGAATTAAAGGTGGGTGAAAGGAAATCAGAGATGGGTTTTTACAGTAAGAGGGGGGGAGGGTGGTTGAGGAAGAGGTTGTTCTTATTATACAGTACACTCTTCCCACACTTTGGTTGTCCCCCCCTCCTCTTTTCTGTGTTTAGACAGAAAAATTGTTCCGTGTGACAGCCATGAATTTACAACTCAGCACTGGACACAGCTGTCATCTGAAGCTGTGCAGCCCCCTAAAGGGGCATCCCTGTAGGCCCGTCACCGCCACGCACTGAGGTCGCTTCATTTGGGAATAAACTGATTTAAAACACACTCTCAGACGAGCTTGCATTTTCATTCAAAATATAATATGTATTTTCCGATATAAAATCATCTGAAACGCAAATATATTAAAGCAAGTCTCTCGAAAACCTCCAAAAGGAAATCCCAGATTAAATCTGCATTTGTACAATTTGCTCACCACAACTCAGTAGTGACCTGTGTTTTCTCAGTAGTAATGACAGCGCGTGGTGATGCAGGAATAAACCCGACCGTGGCAAATGTACAGACACATAAAGGACACACGTCGTCCTCGTGTGTGACACTTGATATGAGTTACGCGTACACAACCTCTACTATTCAGGGTTATGCACATTAATGCAGTTCTGTGGGTCTGAGTGATGCTGACAAAAATAACAAAACCATAGGGGGGCACTAACACTCAAGGAATAATTCAAGATTTAAGATAAAGTTTTTTTTCCTTTGTTTTTAAAGAAGAAAAATAATAATTGCGCAACTTTAAGCGAATTCAGCCGCTGCTTTGCTCAAAAATTGGCAAGAAAGCATCTGCACAAAAACATCAGCACCTGTATGTGAGACAGATGAATCTATTCAGTACCAAAATTCAATTTTGCACGCACTTAATCTAAAACGCATTCAATTGCCCAGGACACTTGAGATAGATGAGAAGTAATAAATGTCTGCAATAAAATTTTCTCTCATGTGGAACGGGAGACTGTGTTAAAAATTTGCTTTATTTTTAGTTTAAAAATCCCCGAGAATGGGACAAAGTTCAAAAGCAACACATTGTAGTTGAATTTGGACTTGTGTGCCAAAGTGTTTCTTGGCAGACAAGAAGTAGCTGTAAGTCTATTAAAAAGTTATTTATAAGGGTCCTTTTGCTTCGATAGAATAAACACTTTTTTGGAATTTCAAAAAGCATTGAACTACTCCTTTTTCATTAGGTTAGTGACTTTTAGTGACTAAACACACTGAGTGTATGACAGCTACAAAGAAAATATGTATTATGAGCAAAAGCAGCATCTTTTGTGGAAAAAAACACCTGTTATCATCACCAAATAATCTTATTATATAGATCTCATCTTTTTTCCATCAGCTATATACTGAAAAAAAAAAAAGGATTCACCCCAATTTAAACAAATTTTTTTCTTTTTTTTTTTTTTTTTTTTTTCTTTTTGGTTTAAAATGCATGTATGGACAATTAAGGTTAGTTAAGGACAGAATCTGACTAAATCATGTACACCTCGGGGTTATCCTCTGTCTTTACAGAATTAATCTGGATTAAAATTTCAAACAGCAAAGTCTCCAAGATCTCTGTCTTTTCTGTACAGATAAATTCATACTGATATTAGTACAATTATTCTTCGTTTTTACAATATCATTGTTTTATCACAAAATATTCACACAAACTGACTAGATGGTAGATTCAATACCTCTAGCCATGAATTCTACATTCCTAACAATAATTACAAAAAAATACTAACTGGTTTTTAAAACTCTTGTCTCCGTAGACTTGTAGTGCACAGGTCAGGGGGCTCGTTCCCTTATTCAGTCAGTTAAAGGCAAAAGACTCCGGGTTTCCTTTGTGAGCTGATCCCAGATCAGCGTGTTCACAAATGAGTTGCAGTGAGCCTGGAGCAGCAGCCGGGGCCGTTCTGTGTGGCTGCAGCTGACCGCACAGTGGAGTGCTACAGGAACCAGCCCTGTCTGCCCGGATGACCTCTGACCTCCTGTCAGCTGAATCCGCTGGGAGCTCCTCAGAGAACGGGCTCCTCACACAGACACCGTAATCCCACTGGAAACGTCTGAGCTACAAACTTGTGGTTGAGGAGGCTGTGGAACTGGGGCGAAGAGCCCCCGGTGTTCACGGGGGGGGGGGGGATCAGTGAATGAGACTGTGATCAGGTGCAGAATTTGCGTCTAACTGAGAACACTTCTGGTCAAAGTGGTCACCGAGGGAGAGAGAGGGGTGTTGCTATTTGAGAGCACCAGAGAACAAGGTGAGGAGAATATAAAGGACGAGAATTTCTCAACATCAACACAAAGATTTAGCTCTAACCTCTAGTCAACCACAGTGAAAAGTGCTTTTTCGTGTTTTTGATGGTGTGATATGAAAGTTTTGATGTTGCACCAATGCCAGTTCACCACTGTGTTACAATTTAGGGATTACTCAAGTTTTGCTAATCAGAATCACAAATGGAAAGTATCTCATGCATGTTTGAATGAGTGAAATCCACTAAGCATCGAGGTAACTCACTGAAAATATAGATATCCAGCAGTTATACAATTTAATCAGAGACTTGGTTTAGAATGGGTGAAGGGAGCCCCTACATTCCCTCCAAAGACAATTCATTTCTGCCGCGTTGCATATCTTATAAGTTTAGCTAATTCAGTCTCAAGACTATTCCCCTGATCCAACATTAGCTGCTGATCCAAAGAGCTCAAAAGAGAATAAAATCTGTTTTAGAATTTAAGGTAATTGGTATCATAAATGTTTTGTGATGTTTATTTGCTCTGTGACAAGGTTTATAAAAAATAATTGTTTTACCCAATTCAAATAGTTTTGAAGGCAAAATCTTATTTCGATGCCACAAAACCTTAGATTGTTTTTTAAAGATAAATGGGGAGTAAATCTCAGTTATGTTAAATAAAATAGAGGGCAGAGACGCTTTTCTTGCAGCCAATGAATTGTTGACATGCAGCCAATGAATTGTTGACATGCATATTAAAAATCTCTGTGATGGTGTGCGTCTCTTTAATATTGTGTTAGTCTAATCAAGAGCTGCTATGACATATGGGCTCGATAAAACTCTGTAATAGGGCGAACTCAGGAAAGTGCATTGTGGTCTTCATTTACAGATTTTTCTGTTGTGTTAAATTTCCATCATCTCACTGCTGTTTCTGTAAAGTTTCAAAGAGGACTGCTCAGGGAGTGTCCTGCCTCTTTCCTCAAAGTAAAATCAGAATGAGTGTTTGCATTTGGAGGTACAGTGTATTTCAAGAGTGGATGAAACATACACATCCATGCTCAAAAAGGTCGATGTGGTGCTCAGAAGCCAGCTACGCTCCACTGCCTGAGGACCAGAGGCCGAGCCGTTCCTCGTCTGTGAGGTTCGGTGGGATTTGAGAAGAGTTCCTGGGTTAAAAGATGTCAGGACACATGGTCCAGTCTTGTCTCTCCTTTGACTCCCAGTAACCTCCCTTGTACACAAAGTTTGTCTCTCCGGTGATGGAGTCCCTCCTCTGGTGGAACCACAGTGGCTGGTAGCATTCATATTCTCGACCTGTGGAAGAAGCACAGCTGTTATCCCATCATTTAGTCATCAGTCAGTGCCGAAAGGCCACACTTGCCGGCAATTGACTGAGCAATCCATTTCCCTTTTTTTAAATGTGTATATAAAAAAAAGCTGTGCACTGCATTTGGTAAAGCCCCAAATGTGAGTCGAGCTGCAACAACTCAAACTGAAATGTGTAAATAAAAGTAAAGGAACGTCAAACCAGTGAATGAAAAAACTGGATCTATTATGATGGAAGGGCAGAAAATATGATCAGAGTTCTTGCAAATCTCTGAACTGGATAATGAATCTGTTTCTTAAAGAAGAGCAAACCAGACAAAACAAAGGGGAGACTGCAGTTTTCTGATGTGTGAACACTGAAAGAAATAGAATGTTTTACACCCAGTACAGTGACTTATGTCCATGTTCCCTTTCAAAGGTGTTTAAATGTAATTAAAGTTGAAGTTTATACCATAAATTCTGAAGGGCACCAGAAAAGTGCTCATTAAACAGAATGGTATTGTGGAATGAAAAGTGAATTTATCCTTTGTTGCTGTAAATAACACTTGTGTCTGCATATCTCGCTGAAGCCAGGTCAGAATGAAAATGTCTCATGTAAGCAGGAAAAGTTTTTTTTTTCTTAGTATTTGGAGGGGCTGACATGAGAGGGGTATCATGCAGTTCCCACACAGAGGCAGAACACACAGAGGACACACATGAGGATCCTGTGTATGTTTGTTTGTGTGGATGATGCACAGGGGGAGGGAGGGGGTACAGGGCAACCCACACTCACCAGAGTCATAATCACACTCTGACCATCAATAGAGGGGGGAAAAGAAAGACAAGTCATGGGTACATCAAATGCAATCTAGCTTATATGAATATATATATATACACACATACACACACACAACCACATCATCAGGATGAAAGTTTCCATTGAGGTCTTTGAAAAGTTCTGATTTGATTCCAGCTCTTCACAGCTTTTTAATGTTCCAGCTCTACTGCCTGACCTTCAGTAACTTTCTATTCCTGAAAGTTGTATTTGAACAACGACAATCTATTATTCATCTATTGTGTTACTGAAAATAAAAACCGAGGGGTTTCCCTATAAAGCAGTTTTAGTGCTGGTTCAGAACCAAGAGCTAATACATTATATTATGAGGATTCTAGTTTGAGCTCCAGAAAATGTGCAATGGTAAACAACAAAGAGCTGCAACACATGTGTAAAGCGGAGGAACATGAGCTTAGAGTCATTTATGGATTGTGACTGACAAAGATTTAAAAATCCTGTTTCCATTGCAGGGCACATTCACAAACAGTACGCAGTAAGTAGACCGGTCGGTTTACAGGGAAAAAATCCTGTGATCTGCAAAGATAAACTGCACTGAAACCTAAGATGCTTTCAGTGGTAGATGAAAGTTCAGGTATGCTTTGGAGGGGGCATTAAAGGGATGTATTTATCCCCACCACCATGGTGGCTCTGGCTGTGGAGAAGCAGCCTCTGTCACAGTCCCTGAAACAGCACTTGAACCATTTAGGTAAAAAAAAAAAGGCTCTGTATGAAAAACCTGTGCTTCTGTCTGTCTGTCTGTCTGTCTGTCAGGTGCCTTTTGCCTGCCAGACGTCACACACACTCCCAGCTCTCTGTTTCATACCTTCATCGACTGCTTCTGAGGCGTCTGCCTCCCTCCTCCTCCTCACAGCTCTTTGTTTCTCCTCTAGCCTCTGCTTTTCAGCGTTTGCCTCATCCCATCGACCTTCCTCCATCAGCCTCTGGTCTGGTCTCAGGCGGCTGTCAGTCCGGCCCACTCCCTCCTCAGGCTCATTTAGGGTCAGAGCCAAGGCTGAGAAGTAGTACATGTTCTCAGCATTTTCCCTGACAGAGTGAGAGGAAATGGACCACGGTTTGTTTGCAGCGTTCTACGATCAATAATATTGATTGAAAACTGCAGCTTTAACACAACGACTATTACTCATGCACAGCCGTCATCTGTGTACGGAGCAGACGAGGTGAGCTTACGGAACAGGGTACTTCTTCCACAGCAGTTTGGGGGACAAAGTCTGATAGACTGTTTTCTGCTTGCCCTCTGATCCGCTGCCCCCTCGACTGCTCTGAATGATCTTGGAGCTTTCCATTTTGTCATCCCATGTACCAGAGAGGATGTAATGAGCCTGGCCTCCACTGTCTGCCACCACTCCTGTCACCTGGAGAGAGAAAAAACACACCAGAGAGCAGACTTTTAGCAGCGAAACGCTGCATCGTACAAAATAAACCCACACATCGTGATATCATAGCATCACTGGGTATTCAGAAAGGGATAAAGAGGAATCACATACCTTCCGTGGAACATCCCTTGAGAAATAACTATAAGGAGAGAACTTGAGCTGGCAGGTTTCCTTCGTTCTGTGATTCACAATCTCAATGTCTCCTGACTGCACAAAAGCAAACAAGTCCACAGAGAGAGAGACAAACACTGTGTAAATGGCAGAGTCTATATAAACGTACATATACGGGATTTATAAGTTGTGTGCTATTTCTTTCTATTTTAGTTTCTGACTCTCCCTGAATAATGAAACCCATATTATCTCATTTTCAAATACATTGTGGTGTGTCTCATACCATATGTAGTCCACTCCAATTTATTACGGTTTCAACCCTAGCGTTAAGCCAGAAAAGGGGATAATCTGTGTAGTCATGTAGACTTCTCTCTCTGCTTCATTAGCTGTAAAACTGATCATCATTACTGCCTTTAGAATGGGTGATGGCAGAGGAAAGAAGAAGGACAAAAATCTCTGAAGCTCCATACAGAATAGTTTCATTTTGACCTGACTGAGCAGCAGGGGGCAGCAGAGCTACAGATTTAACAAGGAACAACAAACGTTTTCAGGAAATTCTGAAGAATTTCACATAAAATAACTCCTTTTTATATCATTTCAAAGAATGACACTGTCATGGAATGACAGTGGTAAATGAATAGTGTGAAACACATAAGCAGACACGAGATAAATAAATAGAAGGTAGAAGGTCAAATAAAGAAAAGCAAACACTTCCACTGAAACAGACATGTGCTGCCTACCCCACCCTCCTCCACCACCCAATGTAACTGGGCCATCTCAGCGAGAAAGAGGCTGTTATTTTAGGGTTATTGCAGATCAAAGCTTGAGATGAATCCTCAGAGACTGAGGAGCTCCCTAGTTGCATGCTGTGTGGCTTTTCTCCGATTCTTTAACTCTGCTTGTCTAAAAGATCAAATATTCTACAGCATGGACAAAAAAAGCTGCCGGCGGGAAAGTCATGGGCTGAGGAGGGAAGAGCAGAAAATAACAGGTGCTCATCAACAGACCTGGTCAATCCACAGCTTGCCCACAATGATGTTGTGCACTGTGGAAGTGACCTTTCTCCACACATAATGGTTCCCACTGGAGTGGAACTGCAGGTGGATGGCACCTGTGGACACATAGGAACAAAACATTCATCATGTGAACTTTGTTTCTCCCCTACGGTTTCTTACATCATAACCATGCTGTGAGTTTGGCTTGGTTCTGTCATCTAACACACTCAAGCTCTGTAAAGAGCCGGTTCTACCTACTTCCAATGTGACCTTGCCCCAGTAGATTTACTACATCTATCAGGTTTTCCACTTGAGAGTGTCCTGATTACATGGTGCCTCACAGCAGCTGTGTACCAGGAGGTGATAGAAGTCAGGGAAATGCCACTGCGTCTCTTGACTGGTGCCAAACATAAAATCTCTCATTTATCTGCACTTACAAATTGGTGCCATTTGCTCTGCTAGTAGAATCTTGACATCACTCTGTACTTGTATTTATGGGTGTGTGTGAAAGGGATAATAAATCCTCTCTGATCCAAGCTCACACCCTCCCCTGCCCTCAAACGAGCAGCTTCTGACCTGTGGTTTACTTCTTCTTCTTTCTAGTCTAATCTCAAAAATCTGACTGTACGTTTGAAAAGATCTGGACTTCTTCCACAGTTCTCTGTTCACATATGTGAAGCACATGAGCTCCCTCACTGCAGGCAATGAATGCGGTGCTACCTATGCACTGCGTCTTACTTGCTGATATAGTGAATATTTCACAAGAGGTCTGGGTTGAAAATCCAGACCAATACAACTAAAAAAAAAAAAAATTTTTTATTTGTGCTTTGAAAACCATTCAAGGTCAGTCATGGTGAAGAAAAATGATACATTATGTCTGACCTATGACAAACACACCAGAAGAATACAGGAAACCTGTAAAACAACCACCAAAACCATGACTGCATATATACTACCACTCTACCAATAAACAGTCACAGGTATTAGGAACTAACCAAAGTAAAGCTATGACAGCATTTACAGTGACAGCTATATCATCAAAGTCAGCGGTCTGTATCAGCAGCCGCTGAACCATCTCCTCCACTTTTCTTTCTAACTGTAATGTGACATTTGCCGCGATTGACATATATAGGGGTACGCTAACTCGCCCCACAGTCTCCACCACCAACGGTCTGCTATAATACCAAGCAGGCTTAAACATGTCTGTAGGTCACACCGTGTCGATTTTATAATGTGGTAAAGCAAAAGTAGTCCTGAAAAAAGTCTTCTAGCTTTGACCTTCCTCTGTATCATACAGCTCTAAATTATTTTGTTACAATTACACAGTACTGCAATGAATGTTTTCCTACACAATACTCCCTCCAACTCTTGCACTATATTTTTTATTTTATTCATACAAAAAGTCAACATGTACGCATGTGCCAATTTGCTAAAATATATAATCTCTAAAATACATAATCAGATCACTAATGTTCCTATGAAAACACCACATGACCAGATCTGGAGTCAATCTGAAATGTCTTACCCAGAGGCATAATGGAGAGGTATTTGCCACGGAATTTGCTGGCGATGGTGATTTCCTGCCACAAGGTCCAGCCTCTTTGGGAAATCACATGATGTGCTGCTGCAGGGGGATGATGGCTGACCTGGGTGCAAATGGAGAGAAAAAGATCTAACATCTAACCTTAGTGCTTGAGTTAAATGTGTGCAAGCAATTTTGGGAATATGTTAAAAACATTCAGCTGTGACTATGTCTTTACCTGCTCACACAGTGAGCGGTAGCCAAATTCCTCCAGGCGATCCAGCTCATAGGTCTCACCCAGGAGGGGGTTGAATGGTTTGGCTGTCCGGTGCACCGTGGTGGAGTAGGAGGAGACAGAGAAGGCTGCGACCAGGCACATCTGCTCCATGGAGGAGTCGCAGCGTGCCGCCTTGTCCAGCAGCTCATGATACTCCAGGTCCTCTGTGAGGCGCTGCAGCATCGACAGAGGCTCGTTGAAGTTTACCTGGGTGAAAGACAAAGGAGTGAAACTCGTAAAATGTTCTGCCTATAGAGTTTTGTTTGACTGCAGTTCAGCTGAGGAGCCAGTGCTCCTACACGTACAGGCATGGGGATTTTAGAGAGTTCCTTTCCAATGCAGTTCTTCATGATGCTCCACAAATTGAGGGAGTAATTAGGCTTGTCTGGAATATGAGACCGCCTCTGTCTGCGGGGCTGCAGCTCCCTTCCTGACACATCATTACAGCTTGGAGACATCTGGGATTGGACAGGAAAGAAGGGAAGGATAGACAACTTTGAGAAAAAATGGATAAATGGACTCCTCGTCAGCATTTCCTCAGAGTGACAAAACAATTAACACACAAGGAGACACAGTAGGAAAGAGAGCAGAAGAAAGATGGGAGTGAACAGATGGTAGACTCTTAATTAAGATTTTAGTGAAATAATGGAATTGCATATCTTTGATACTGCAGGGGTGACAGCAAGATGGTAGGAAACAGAAAGAAGACTGAGGGTGTCTCTGTGAGTACAGCGAGTGAAAATGTCATACAAGTAAATCAATGTTAGCTTAGCGCTGGCACAAATGAATCTAAAGTGAGATTACAAGAGTCAGCAACATTTGTAAATGTCAGTCACATTAGTCATGGCTGTTAGAGAGACAGACACTTACATGGTCGTCCTGGTTCCAGTCACTGGGCTGGCCTCCACTCGCTCCACTTAAATTACTATGAGATCGCCTGCAACCGAATAAAAATATTTTCTGCATTGAAAAATGGATTAAACTTATTCTGAAAGACCTTTATGTCTTGTTCCCTTTTGACAAACAGCAATCACAAGGGAGAGAAGGAATAGCTGGGAAATGCTGCTGTAACAGTCACAGTTGTGGGACACACCAATATTGCAACCAAAGTCAGCATTATCGATCATCTTGTTGCAGTGAGATTTTCTTCTGGGTTCTGTCATTTTGTTAGATGTTACTTTGACATCCACAAACTTAATGTTGTTACAGATCAAGAGCAGTTGGTCTGGACCAACACAAAGCAAAACCTTCTTAGGCACATGAAACAGACTTTGGCATTACACAGGCTCCAGCTTCTCCTCCGTTCTGACTGGTTAGAGAGTGGTACAAGAGACAACAACATTGACTAGTTTACTTGTTAGTAGGTCAGCTTTTTTATGTCATTACAAAAGTCAACATTAAGGGACACACCACTTGTTGATTTACGTGTTCACAGCCTTCTGAGCCTTATTCTGAGCCACATTCAACTGTAAGCCAAAGTGAAACTCAACATTTTGCATTAGGACATGCATGGTTTACAGTAAAAGAAAAATCAGTCCAAACGTCTCCTTGGACAGAATGGACCTGTGAGTGAAGCTGACCTGTGCTGTGTGCTCTCACTGGCAGTCACTGTGATAAACGCAGGGTAATCCTCCATGGCATCAAAGTACTCAGTATCCTCATCTTCATCACTTGCCTCTTCTTTGTTCGACCTCTCACTCCCTGTGGTGGTTAGGACAAATACAAAGTAGTACCAAATTAGTAAAACAACTTTATAGTGGTGAGATTGCACTCTATAGAATCGAGGGGGGAAGAGCCTATAATCATATACCAAAGGTACTTAATCAAAGAATAATCAGCTTTGTAAAACTGACAATTTTCCTGCTGGCTAACAAGCTTAATTAATGCAAGATTGACTGTGTGTGCTTCCATATGTATCACTCAGCGTTGAGCATGTTCTTATGTAACCTAGCTTTCCTCTTAAAGACAAATATTATTTTTGCAACTTAAACTTTTACAGAGAAAATACATTTTTTGTTCTCTATATCACCACTACACCACATCAATAATTAGACAGGGTCTTTTTATTACACTTCAGCAAAATCAAAACAAGTTCCTCTTGGGATATTTTGGTCACAGATTTTGGACGCGTGACTAATTCTTGGTTAATTCAATAACCACCTCTAACTTGGTTGTCATCCAAATCATGTGACACAGCATTCATTTTCCTTTTTCCACAAGAGGACAGACTATAACATCACCCACTGGCTGACATGTGACCTTAAATCAAACAATAGAAAGTAGCAGACACTCTCACCCTTATTGGTGGTAGGGGCACTGGGTGGGCTGGAAACAAGCGTGGGTGCTTCTCTCCACGCCCGCTCCAGGCTGTTATGCTGTTTGGCCAGTTGCTCAATGGTCTCCTCTAGGTGGGTACGCTGCTCCCGCTCATACTGCAGCGCCCGCTGCCACCGTCTGCTGTGAGTCTCCGCTAGGTCCAAGAAGTCTCGACACGCCTTGGGAAAAACGCACATAAATATGTCAGGCATAACAGCAGAGACCGATTTTGAATTGAAAAGTGTAAAGTAATTTGTAGGTCCTGATCACCACTTTTCAGAGAAATCATCAATATGTTAATTAGACATCTAACAAGCAATTACTGCCTCTTCCTGTTGTTTTAAATGTAACTCTGAGCTAATAAGTAAATAATGGTAACACTACTGACTCACGAGCTGAAGTAAAGCCCCTGACTGCATAACAGGCTAAATATGAGTCGAGGGGGGTGGGCTATGCCGTTGTAATTCCACTAGCGAGACAAAGAGGTTACTTCAGATCACTTATATATGACATGTCAGCACTTGTTGTCCCTGCATTATGGGCCTCACAGCTTTCTGCATAGTGAGCACAAAGGTCATTGAACTTAAATAATACTTTTCAGCTGACTGCACAGTACTAAAACTGTAGTGATGGTCTGCCTAAAACCGATGTATTAGTCGACCCCTGTAGCATGTTTTAAGGAGGTTTGATTCTCGTCCCAATTTTTTCTGGCCATTCGCAGATTTCCAAACAAATTTCAACAACAAGCAAAACAAGATGAATGAGCAATGAAGGCTGAACATTGTATAGACAAAGGTGTCACACAGCTCAGGTCATCACATGTCTATCATGTGAAAAGTAGCCAGGATGTGCTGCATTAACCAGGGGCAAAAACAAAAGCAAGGAGGAGCACCTGGTTCTGTCCTTCATGTACATCCCTCTATTTATTTCTCACAGATAAATTTGTAGCAAGCGCAGACAAGAGCCCAAATGAACGAAAATGTTTTGAAAATATACTGGATTAATATCCTGAATATGTGCAAATGAACTTTCAATCAACAATTGTTATTACCTTGCTACTCAAAACCATCTTTACTGTAAAGTCAGGTACTACAATTAACAAAATAATGTTTGGGGTTTTTTTCTATTTCACAAAAATTACAATTACAATTAACAATTACTCTACTCGATATATTGAAAAGTTGAACTCTATACAATAAAGTAATGACAATTCTGCAACAAAAACTGAGAAAACAAACCGAGTTTTGACTCTCCAGGAAGTTTCTTACCTTCAGCTGTCTTTCACAAACAGTTGTAGCGCCTATATTGTCTGTGCTTCACTTTAAATGTCACTAGTACACGTGACACTGAGGTCCACTTCCTGAAACGTGGACATCAGTGGAACCGTGATCTGAAACTGCGACCCCACTTAAAGAAGAATGCCACTTCCACTTTTTTAATGCTGACTCCAATATAAACGCAGACTGCATGTGACTTTCAAAGTAGGGAAGACACAATTGATAAAGGCTAACAAAGTGAACTTGGACTAGATTGGACCTGACCTTAACAGCAACTAGTGTGAATAAAAAAGTTCTGGAAAACGCAGACAAATAAGCCACAAAGAATGAAGTAAATCTCTGTGTGATCAAGCCAAACATGTTGGTTTTAGGAATATGTGTGTGAACTGACTGAAAAACTGCTAATGTCACATGAGAAAAGTTAGGTCAACGGTGAATGAACTAAAGGGAAACTCCTCTCCAAGTCGTGAGTCTTTCTGGCCCCTTTCTCATGCCTTTATTCTCTTATCTGATGTATGTACAAATCATGTAAAAGCCTCAGATGTATTTCAGAGGAAAGTAGATTGTTTAATGGGGGCTAAACTCAAGGCTGCAGAAATCCAATTTAATCCCCCATGAATAATAGCTGCGTGAATAGAGCCTTTCACGAGACCAAAGGCAGGAAGTTTATGTTTCCTTCTCATGGCAACCCAAAAGGTCTGCCAATGACTGTACATGTTATGCTTCACTACTTAGTAAAAATTGTGTGAGGTGGATTATTTACCTTATCGTGTAAGTAAAATGTAGAATAAGACTAACTTATTTTCTCAATATAGATTTAGAACTGAAGTCTTAACAATCCATTGTCATTTGACAATCCCATCTGGGTAAAAAGTACAGCGCTAAAAAAACCCCCAAAAGAATGGCCTGAATTCACCCTAAACAACCAAATACACTGAACAGCAAAATACATGTATTTCAGACAGTGATTACACTGCGATTTGGTTTAGTTTTAAAATGACTTTAGAATTGCTCTTTATTTTAATTTGTGTAACTGTATTTAGTGATTTAATATGATCTTTCTTTATAAGGGGTAATATGATCACATTTACAGAATCTTTCTAAATGAAATCTTCTTAACAGGGAAAGTGGGAAGCTAATGCTACTATTTTGAGTCACAATTAGTAACTCACTAACGGAATATAACATTTACACATAACCCATCACTGCTTTACTTGAAGCGAGTGTTCCAGAGGAGTCTCCCCTGAATCCTGCTTCAGAAGGATTATCTTGATTTTCACTAATCAGGAAAAGCAACCCTTCTAAACATACCCATCCGGGTAAAATCCCAGACCCATTAGTCAGTTAATCCTAGCCTCTGCATTCATAGTCTCTGTAAACGTAGTTGGGGTTACATTTGTCAGGCAATAGTGCTTTATGGTTTTGAATGACAGTTGTCTGTGATCCTTAGGAAGCCAAATGTATAGACAGCAAATTAACATGCAAGAGATGTAAATGTAACCATGATTTACAAATATTACAAGTGAAAGAGATACTTCTTAAATCCACCACAAATTAACATAATATAAATGGAGTATACATACGTATGCAACAACGTATTAGTTAGACATGCAGTACAGGAAAAACAGCAATCACTGACCCCAAATCAATGCCACTGTGAGCCCTGAGCAGCAGGAAGAAAGACAAACAGCAGGAAATGATCTGACCTCAGTCTGAGCAGATCTGCCTGTCTGACTGCAGTCAAGAAGGCTCTGACATTTCTCATTGGGTTGGGGGGGGGAGTTTAGGGGAGTTGGGTTCCGAGGGGAGGGCAGCGCAGGGGCTATTCCTGTCACCCACACCCAATATCATATCTAGTATCACCTCTTCAGTACCTCATACCTTCCTGAACTCTCTTCCACAGCTGATGTAATGTAAAGCCATTGGTACCTTCTGCTAATGAAAAGTGGGAGAGAACTCGTGAAAAAGCCTTATAATGTACAGTATCTGCCCCAGCAAATAATATAAAATATCTAGTGGTAATACATTTTTGCCATTCATGAAGTTCCTCCTTAAATTGTGGCGCTGGGCACAGATTTTAAAGTCCGCTTCTGGTTTGAGGTTTATGGGTTTTACATTTACAACTAGCTGCTCTTGGTTCATTAGAACAGCAGTCTGAGTGACTGTATTCTTCATAATTAAAATATATGTCATAGTTTCATTAGGCAGTAACTACAGAATTGACCATAATCTTTGTGGTCAAAGATGATCGGTTAATTAGATGTCTTAATTGCTACATGAGAGGTAAACACATTTCGGTAGGTTAAGAAGGGTTTGGTGAGGTGTTGCTGGTTAATCCAGTCTGCCGCCAACCGGATCTTTGTAACTTGCCACACATACACTGTGAGAGCTTCCCGTCCCTCAGCCCTCACTAACCAGGACATTAAGTATGGCTGGTATTCCTGTCAACGCCATCACGCCAAAGCACACAGCATCACTTTATTTTCACTGCTGCTGCTGCTTGCATCCCTCCTCACTACTTACATTGATCATAGCATTGGAAGTGATGCGGAAGAGGGTGGCTCGCTCATTCACTGCTTTGATCTTTTCACCACCCTCCACGGGGACTTTCAGGCCTTCAAGTTCACTCAGGGAACGCTGCAGGGCTGCTCCATGCTTGGCGATTAGGTCGTTACATGTACTGAGGTCATCGAGCTTGCTGACGAGGATTTTTAGGGTGCCTTGAATCTCACTCCGGTCCGTCTGGGATGTGGGCTCCTCATCACCAGAGTCATCTGCAAAGGAGGCGTCACCACAGAAGAAGCAAATGATTTATTTTGTACTTATTTTGTATTTAGAAGTGTTTGTCTGAGAAAGTTTGATTAAATAATGGTTGATATGAAGAAACCCTTCTTGTTCAGTGATGATGCTTCCTATTCGCAACACATTAACTGACCTTCTCAAGCTAATCAAATACAGTATGGTGGTTTATCCCAACACAGGCTGAGCTATCAAAGCTCTATAGACAGTTAAAAGACAACTGTGGTGTAGACTGAACTCACAGTCTAGCTGTAAGATATTCCTGTTGTTTGTTGCCAAAAAACGATTAGTCACTAACATCACTAACCCCACAGGCTTTAAAATAATATGGGCTTAATTTTTCTGCTCTGAAAAAAAAATCAAAACACAACGCCATATTCAAATGGAGGGGTCCTTGTACTGGACACATAACAGCATGCTGAGGAGTGATAACAATCCAGTAACCACATATTTAAAGTTACAGCTTTTGTAAGAACACAGATGAGAGGGTGGAATAAGGAGAACAATAATAATAAAATCTATATATCTATAAAGTCTCATCATATGAAATATAACACTGGGAGAGTGGAATTAAAGGTTTAGGTGAGGACAGAAAGTCTCTCATCCCTCTAATCCACAGAGCCAATCTTTGAATGTCCTGGCTATGAAGTTACTGAAGTCTTCTACACTCCAACATGCAGAGCATGCTGGCTCCCGTTGGAATAGTCTGCTATGTGGCTGAAGCGGAGACTGTCACCGTTATGGTGAGAGGCAGCAACGCAGCAACACTTCTCTGCAGTGAACATGGCAGCCGGCTACGACCTTGCAGTGGAAGAGCCAATCACCCTGTCAATATTATTCACATCTAGCAACTATAACATGGTTTTGGATCTCTGGGGAAGGTGGAAACTGCAGGGCCTCATCACTAAATGTTCAAATTTGATCATAAAATCATTAGTTTGTCCAACCCCAGAAAAAAAAACAATCAGCAAAAAAACCAAAACAGCTCATTTGATGATACATCTGCATTAAATGCTGCACTAACACTATGTTTTGTTAAATGTAGTGGGAGAATACTAGACACCTGGTTTTTATACAGCCTAGGAGTATCATTTAAAATTTTAAGCAAGAATTTCCCACCTGTGTTCAATATCCATATGTGCAGATGTGTTTGTTAGCTTTAGGGGGAAAAGTGACATTAGTCGTCAGTATGAGAAAAAAAATCATCCAAACTTCTTATATGGCTTAATGGGTCAAGTAAACAAATATCTTAATATCACCCCCAAACTGAATCCTAACGACTTTAGTCGAATTTAATGTCAAGACAGCATGAGGCTAAAATTCATTATTATTCATGCCATCAGATCATTTTGTTGGATAACCAGGAATAATAGCTAAGACATTGATGTTCCCCTCAAGGAGCAGTAAGGATTTCAAATAAAATGCTTTACATCTTAAGGAACCAAATTTGATGTCATCTCATTTCATCAAAACTTACACAAACTCTAATGGTCCTTGACTTTTGGACTAAGAAGTCAAATTTGAGCATGAAAAAAATGAAACAATGGAAAATATTTTCTGATTAACACTCACGTATCAGTATCAAGCTTGTGAGACTATAAATTCAAGGACCATACAATAGCATAAGCTCCAGCAATAGCTGAATGACATTGGACTGAAGTTGATGTACAAACTTTAAGTAAAAAAGTCCAATAATTTCAGCCGTTTACAGATATCCCTTAAGGAAAGACATGAAATCGTTTCTCACCATTTTTATATTCCTGGGCGTCCATTATAGATAACTAAAGTTCAGGTAGAAAGATACAGCACAAAAAGGTCACTGAGCTAGACCCCGAGGTGCTGTACAGTGTAGAGTGACCTCTCAAAGAGACACAACTGTCAGACCATCGGTGACAAGACACGAAAAGGAAATAATCCCCCAAAAGGTCAGCCCTACAGGGCCTCAGCAAAAAAGACTAAATCAAACCTGGCTTTGAAAACGACACGACCCAGAACAAACCAGAAGCAAAATCCAATTACACTGGATTTCACCAAAGACATGGCAGGAAAAGAATCAGGTAAAAGTTAAGAAAGCTGCCAAAAGTCTGTTGTCTGCAGAGAGTGACAAGCAACTGCAGCGCAAACCTAAAAAACAGGAGGCAGTGAAAGAAGTGAGCTGAGCTTGTGTTCAGAGAGCTGGACAGGATAATGAAATCTGCCTTTAATTGCTAAAGCCTGACTATGGCAGCTCAGCTTTAAACAGATGAGTTAGTTGGCCCGTTGGTTTAGTTACAAACATCATCCCACAGGGAAATCATTAGTCTCTTCGCTTTAATATTAATTTATATAACCGACCCCACTTCAAATGAGCAATCTGCAATATAAAAAAACAACCGACATGACTTTGAAATTAATTTAAGCATAGGGACCTGCAACATTTCACTTCTGTATTAAAACAGGCAGTGATGAAACATTAACTTCTAAGCATAATTTTAATGAGGCTTGATGATAGCATTATGAGATCATATATGTGACGGCGGTAAAAAAGTTGCGATCACTTTATTTGGATCCATTTTAGTCCAACCAAGCCATTAGTGCAGTATCCTTTGAGTGCCAAAACAAAGTGAGCTACAGCAGGAGCTAAAGTTATGCAAGTTTCTAATGAGTGGTACCAGGAGACCAGGACAAAGACTAATTAGTGTAGAGTAAAGCTTAAATGCCAGAACAAATAAACTTCTGTGCAGTTAGCAAACTGCTAAGAGTGTGCAATGTGAACGTTCCTCTGCTAAAACCTAGTGGATAAGACATCTTGAGGCTTCTAACGAATCTTGTTAGCTGCATATCAGGAATATTGAGATAAACAATAGAGATTTGACCAACAGTGACCCCCTAAAATGAAATAATTAAAACATTGCAAAACAAGGCTGCTGAATGGCAACCTCACCACTCACTGGGCTGACGGTAAACTCATCCCCTAATGCTCTGCATCACGTCCACATTTCAGGGTGTAAAATTACAGAGGAGGACCTTGGTAACATTAAGATCATTCCAGAGCAGAGCAGAGGACACACTCTACGGATACACTCAAAGACAAGCAGTGAAACCTCAGAATATTCACCCTCTGCCAAAGAGTTTAAAGCTTTAAGGGATGCCACTTGATATAAGCTGACACATGAACCAAGGCGCCTTTGTTTAGAAGAGCCTCTGCTTACAGCACGTCACCTGAAAAAACACCTCCCTTTCTAGGGATAAACACCAAGAACTGCAATACCACTAATGCAGCTCCAAGGAGGAATCTGAAGTGCGTCCTTCATAGTATGTCAGACACAACCTTTCTAAAATGTCCTTTCATTCCACAAAATGACATCCATAGAGCATTGACAAAATGTCAATCTCCACCAACAGACAAGAGTCAAGACAAGAGTACTGGAGACGAAGACCATTTCAGATGGACAAACACATTTTACCATCAGGATATAAATCTGATCAAGAATCAGAAGGGGAATTTTACACCTAACGTTATGCCAGTGAATGATCCATGTATGTGGGGTGTGTGCTCATGCCTGGTCTTTCTAACCCTCTACCTCACTCCAGCAGATGTGGATTGATGGGATCTCGTGGCAAAGTCGACACCACGAGGATAGGCCAAGAACCCATTACTACCCGAGTCATGCCTCAAGGGCACACGTCCAACCCCCTCCCCCACAGCCTTACACCTCAAAGAACATGCTGTATCAACACAAATACAAGTTCATTTCCCATTAATGTACTACTGCGCTTAGCTTCTAGGGTGAATGGAACTGTTTCAGAGACAAGCTGAGGTATATACACGCACAGAACCCCAACATGTAAGCACGCATCCTGTTTGAAAATGAACAAGGACAAAGCTTGTTTGTTCCATCCTTGCTGTCCACCTCTGTGTTCAGCACAAAATGTTCAAGTGAGGGTGGGGGGGGGGAAGAGAGAAAGTGGGAGTGGGCGGTGGCAGCATGTAATTGGATGAGCTGTACTCTGCTATCCCTCTGTCAGGGCCCGTCTCTCTGCTCGTCCCTGAGGACAGGCTGTCAGATTGGTGGAGCCAGGCCTCCGGCTGACAGGACGTCACCCTGTGGCAGAAAAACGAGCACATCAAGCAGGCGAGCGCATGGGAGAGATGTAGCGCAGCCTTATTTAAACATGGCACTGAAACTCACTGAGAGCCCCAATTAGGTGGGGAGGCACAAATAACCTGTTTATTTTTAGAATCTAGTTTAACTCTGTTTTGAAAACTTACTATAGTGATAATTCCTTCACAAGTCAGTAAGCAGATGGCAGAGAACTGTGAGCGATGGTAACGTTCCACCATCTTTTTCTTGACGATCAAAAGACATTTGATCATTCAGGCAGCCACAACATCTCAATTGAGATGCTTTGTCAACACATTTTTTTTTCCAAATCATTATTTTTTTATATCCACAATGCCACGCACCTTGATGACATGCTGACCTGATGTTACTGGAGACATCACATGCATTCGTTTCTTACATTGTGCACAAATCAGCATCATAACTCATCAGGGTGAGTTATCATGTCTGTTTATCTTTGATACTGGATTTGTCCACAGACAGAGAAGAAAGACACTTTCTCCAAAGCTCTAGAATCTGGTCTATCGGTCCTGGGAGTCACCTTCCATATGTGCCTCAACAGATCCAGGCTTAATTACCGCTAGAAATGTGCGCAGAGCCAAAGAAGGAACAGTTGCCCTTTGCGGCACTGCAGTTAGCTGCCGTTGCTCATGGACGCGGTCAAAAGTCAGTCAAAAGATAAGCAAGCTGAAGTTTGTGTCGGTCACCTAGCAGCTGACAGTTTGTTTTCAAAGAACATGTCGAACCATCCAATATAGGTTCATCTCATCATAAAAAAATAAGCTGAGTTTTCGACAGGAGGCAAGGTACATTTTCCGGTACATTTTCCACAAGTACCAAGTTCATCACAGAGAGACAGACAACCATGCAACTGAAATGATTTTCAGTGCAGAAATAATGGAACTCACAGTATGCCTTGTACTTCGTCAGCTTAAAGCAGAAGAAATCAATGAAACTCCAGCAAAGAGCATTTACAGCATTTGTTTTAGCACAAATGTACTCTTTGTGCTAAAAAAGAGGAAGGAGGACTATGCTATAGCTTCTACTGATAGTGTGTGCGGAAGAGAAAAGGGAGAAATGAAAGGTATACAGGAAACAGAGTAGAGGACAAGCTACATCAAGAGTGAGGATGTGTCCCAGAGGATGGGACTGTAATCCGGGCCAGTAATTGCTAACTGTTTCCATACCTCCCCTGAGATACATCACCAGAAGACAAACTGAGGAGACAGCAGGTTAGGCCCAGTAATATGCTGCTCGGCTCTCTGCAAGCAAATGAGAAACTCATCACTGTCCCCAAAGCTCTGCAGCACGGCTCTGGAAGTGTATTCAATCGAACACTCTCTGAAAGCTGCGAACAAAATAGAAGATTAATAGCAAACTGTTGCAACGAAACATTGAGTTTTATCTCAGCTACAGTCAATGATGTGTTAGGACGGACCATAAAAAGAAAATCAAGGTTTTTGTCACAAATTCAATACTTTGTGCTGAGATAAATTTCTAGCTGGTAACTTAAATCTGAGAGAGAGGAAGGTATTGGTTTACTGTAAAGATCTTGTTGAATGTTAAGGTTATCAACTGTCCTGCAGCCTCAGAATATAACAGAATAAAACAGCAGCGATGAAAAGGATAAAAGGACTTTTGCTGAATAGATACCATCCAATCCACCAGATATGACCTTTTATCAAAATATTTCAACACTCTCATTTTAATCCTTAAAAGTAAAGAAGAAATAATTGTGCTAAAATTGCTTTGAGTATCTAAACAACTGTGTGGGCTGTGATGGTGGTCTGTTAATCGCTATCTTGATCTTAATATTGTAAAAATGTGATACAATAACACTTCCTAAATGTGGAAGCACATTTCTATGGAAGCGCATTGCATTCACTGGGAAAAAGATTAGATACCTAATCTCTTGATTACGAGATGTTTTATTGTGATTACGACATCCTGATGTCATAATTACATCATCTTTTCTTGTAATTACGACATCCTGATGTCATAATTACATCATCTTTTCTTGTAATTACGACATCCTGATGTCATAATTACATCATCTTTTCTCATGATTATGGGATAATTACTCGATTTTTTTCCCCCAGTGAATGCAATGCGCTTCCGTACTCAAGTGCACATGCGAATAAAAAAAATGTTTTCCACACAATGAGACAGGTGACAAGTTTACTGTTGGCTGGTTCCATTTTTATAACCAACTTCAGAAAACTACTTCACTTTCAGCCAGCGAGAGGTATGCTCTTCATGCTCTGCAGTTATGTCCACTGATGTCTGAAAAAATCGAAATGATGAGCGTGAAGGATAACTCAGGAACAGTGAACTATGTCGGACTGTGCGCCAAGGCTTTATAACAAAACTGACAGTGCACGCAGAGTCTTTTTTTCCCTTTAGCAGGAGCGATTTCTGAACAGAGACACCGGCGCCCTTCAGTAAGAACTGCTTATTAAACTGATGTGAAATTTCACGTGGAGATGAGGCTCCATGAAAGATTTTACATGTCAATATAACACTCTAATTAAGTCAGCTCGTAATAGCAGCTCCAGCGCACCAGAGATTTCCACTGAGTAAAAGAACGTCCTTTGTCAGTATCACAGACCAACAGTTTATGAAATGAAATACCCCACAGAGAGCAAAAGCGTTGGCACTTTCTGGGAGGTACAAAAGGAGTTCCCTGTGGGAGCTTTTTGTGCTTGGAAAATCTACTTCACCAGAATATGCTATAATATTGATTCGATCACTTGGATTGAGAGTTTTAGAGACTTGACTGTCTATCTCATTTGTTAACAGCCTTTTTAGATTTGTTCCACCATGTTGTGAGACGTTTTGTTATTCAGGCTGTTTAGATCTGTCACTAATGTTCAAGCAGGGCCTCGGCTGGAATAGTCAGATCTTCAATTAACTTTTTACTGGCTCAAAGCAGTGAGCATATTATTTCTATTAAAGCTTACTTCATAACTGCTGTATGCTCCACTGAAATATATATATTTTTTTAACTCATGGACAGATACTAGATGCCCATTGTGTGGTGTTCTGTCTTTGTGGATGTATCTTCTTCTCTTTTTACATTGTCCATCTATTCCTATTGGCATTGTTAATATTACCACCATGACCATTCATGTGAAACACCTTTCTCTTTTGCCAACACTGGGGGAGTTGTGTTTGGTTGAATACTTCCAACCTTTGGTTGAAAACTTAATTAGAGGAAGGCTTGTGATTCTTAAGAAAAAATTATCTGATTAAACTTACATAAATTTAGCCATTAAATACTTTCTTAGTCAGAAAAATGTCCAGGGGTTTCCACTATACTGCTCATGCCAACCTCATTATAGCAAACACACAGGCAAAGTGAGGAGACTGAAAGCCTGAGGCTCCAGATCACAGCTGTTCAGCTCCACGTTGTCCAACTATGCCACAAGCAGGAAAACAATGGATGAAGTTAGAGAGGTGGAAAGGCAGAACAGAACGGATAGAGACACAGAGGGGGACTATAATTGCTAACGCAATTTTCATTGTGTCCACATGAGTAATAACTTAACAGCAAAAGATAGGCTGCTGCCTAGCTGCAAAGAAAGCAAAGTATGCGGAGTATTTTGTCTTTGTTTCATAACTTGTATTGATTTTTAGTAATAAGTGCAGCTGCAGCACAGAGTAAATGCCAATTCCATTTTACAGTTTCCATCCATCCATTTTCTTTACCAAGTATTCCCAAAGGGGTCGCGGGGGGAGCTGGAGCCTATCCCAGCTGACAGCGGGCCAGAGGCGGGGCACACTCTGGACAGGTCAACAGTCCATCGCAGGGCCACGGAGACCGTTTGACAGCTTACGTGACCAAAATGGTTAACGCTCATGATATAGCACACAGAAACGCTTAACACAGCAACCCGTTGGCCTGGCTGACTCTGGGTCATCCATATGCAAATGTCAGGTGGAACAAAGGAAAAGAGGAAATGAGAATGATCTGAAGCAGCATGGGAGAAGGAGAGGACAGAGCATGCAGTGCAGAGTGCAGGAGGGGGGGGGGCAGGATGCTCGTTTTCCAGCACGGGGAGCTGAAGGAGGCTGCAGAAGCACTGATGGTACCTCTTAGACGTACAATAAGGAAGAGATGGCAGGAAGAGACCGGCCGTTGGACAGATGGAGAGGAGTGTGACAGCTCTGTGCTCCTGTGCTGAGGCTTTAGCAGTACCCGTACTGACCCTGGTTGAGTTTACTCAAACAGCCCGAGTTGCAGAGGGAGCGGACCGCCCTTGGCTCCCAGCAGCTCCGGCCCTTCATCCCTCTCTGTGCAGGCCTGATCCAACTCCACGCTCCCTGAGACGCAACGCCGCCCCTGGGCCGCTACATCATTCCGGCACGGGGAGGGCTGAGCCAGCGACTTTCCATTTTCAGCATTGCAGCAGGCACACAAACTCAAGCATACTCACGCTCACACGACGACATGGCCGTCCATGCAGGCACCCCCTGTCATTCCTATGTCCAATTTCGCACTGCTTGTCCTCGTAGCCTGCATTGCCCTGTCCTACCGCAACACACACACACACACACGCACACAGACTGCACGCGCAAAATTACAAAGCTCGGCACATTTTCAATTCTCCTCCACATGCTCCTCTTAGTGCAATGCAGACTGGAGAGGGAGGGAGGGTGGCAGAGAGGGAGAGAAGCCGAGCGGAGACAGGACTCGGCAGCTAGCAATCATTCACTCAACAAAGAGCGCATTGCTCCCTTTCCGCCACCTTCTCGTAGCCTGACTGCAAATGTCAACAATTTCAGGAGAGCAAAATGGCAGGAATTAAGCGAAGGTTCCGCTGGTTCAAAAGGGAGGAGCTTGTATAACAAGCCACAAAAGATAAAAAAGATCTCAGAGGGGGTCACTGGTCCACGGGAAGAAAGTCAAATACTACAGCTCAATATAAAGCACATTTCCTCTGGTACTGAATGCTGTATCACTGCGGTATCATCCACTGCCCGCCTATCACCAGCTGACAGTTCAACATGCGACCTTTCCATCAGTGTCCTCGCATAAACATGGTGTCAACTGAAACCATGATCCGCTCACCACGCAATTTCATAGCAGCTAAATGTTGTCATTTCAGCACCCTGCCAGCGTATAAACTGAACTGTGTAGCAAGTCAAGGTCACCCCCGGCAACTACACCAATTTTCTTCACCTCTGAGAAATATATTTCCAACAATTCTGGGTAGGATAGATTAGTTGTGTTATATATGGATCAGGTGAGCATGCATTTTGCATTGTTGAGCTTTTTATGGCTCAAAAGTAGATTAATTGAACTATCATCAGCTTAATATTTCACGGGATGACTTTCAGGGGTCAGATCTGTGAGAGTCCTGGGCAGGTGACACATCTGACCCATCGCTCCTCATTGTAATGCAAAAAGATTTAATTTAAAAATGTACAAATAAGTTAAATCAAATATTCAAAAAGCTCATTAAGATGGTTTGTGTGGCCTTTTCTAGACTATTCTTTTTTATCGAATAATTTATTTCAATATGACCTATATTCTATGTTTTTTTCCAAGTGTATATGGACTCTTTATAAGTGTGCGTCTTTATCATTTAAACAGTTTCAGGCTGACAGCCCGGTGTTATGTGCCCCCCATAAATAGGAAATTCCTTTGATGGCTGTTTTCAGACATGCAATCGTAAAGTAAGTCTGACATTCATACAAAATTAAATAAACATATTAGCTGAAAGCATATCCCTAAGGTATTGATAATGTTGCTCCCCGTATACAGCAGCAAAGGCGGTAATGGCTCGGCGATTTCCCCTAGGTTAACAGCGGATAAAAACACAAGACAACTTCTTACTGTTTGTTAAAGTAATAGACTTAACAAACAGAAAGATGAGTCATTATCGCACTGCACCAGCGTACTGTAACGTGTTTGTTGCAGGAATTCTGGAGAACCATCTGATAACAGCAGAAAGTGGACACAGGGGAGAGGAGACCGGCTCGCTTTAAGGGAGGTGACAGAAGTGCTGATGGAGAAAGGTTGTTGGACTGTACAGGAATAATGCTGCCTAAATGTCCTCCGGCGTGCTCTTAGAGGTAATGATGCATGAAACCACGATTAAGTTTAAACATGACCTTCAATATTCTTTACTGGTTAGCTTTAACAGTAAAGACATGGTGCTTTTTAGGGTATTTACTCCTTTGTTTCAATCAACATTCAGACTTAAAAGACATGTTTAGAGAATCACATATTCAGTCAATTAGAATATTTGACAGAAATGTAAAATCCATATTTTTCTTTAACTAAAACGTCTGCATTTGATTTCAAAATACATTTTAAAAGGATATCATGACATACAGTCCAACATCCTTAATTTATTTAGCATTTTAAAGCTGTGAAATATCTGAGAGGCAGACTGAAAAAGAGGGTTAGTGTTAAAAGAGCATAAGTAACAGACTCATCAAGCCAATTACTCAATTACACGGGAGGAACCCAAACACTCACTGGGTTTACAGCCTGAATACACCGAGCTCATTAAAATAGGCACATAAAGTCTTTCATCATTGGGAAAACTATTTTTTTACGATGACATTTGGAAGTCTAACATTTGGAGCTCTATCTTCCATTTACATTATTAGGCAGTGTTTCCTCCAGCATTGTGGAATGTAATTGTCATTTATCCACATTAAAGGAACACATTAAAGTGAGATATGGTGCTGGCTTAAAGCCAGACACAAGACATGGGAACCTGAACACTGACAGCGAGTCTCCCAACGAGTCGACGCTCCTGTGGTGATAATGAAACGTTTATCCGAAAGGAGGTGGAGGATCTTCAATTAACCACAAATGTGAGACTGAAGAGTAATTGCTTCCTGTGTCAGTCTGCCCCGGCTTAGAGGACCATGCATCAACTCAGCGACTGAGTAATCTCAAACAGATTCTTCATAAGAAAGCCCCACGCAGCACAGGGAAATTACAGCTGGCATTCAATACGCTGGGGCAATGAGTCATCTAACCCTACGAGCATGTAGTCAGCGCTCAAAGACAAACTCTAGGTAGCATGTTTGCACGGCAGATGCCGATGCTGGCACCGGCACCTCTGTGAGTGCCTCTGAGAACTGAGTGCCACCGAGTGTTCTGGCAGGAATCTTTTTGAAGATATCCCGGCTCGTGCCTTGAAGCCAGCAGAAGAGGCAGTAATAAATTCTCAGTCATAAATTCTCCTCCCTCTTAAACAAATGCAGCTCCATCAGAATGTCACCCTGCACAGGTGACAGATCCTGTGTGAGGAGCTCTTCCGTTGTACCCTACGGTCTTTCCCTCCAAAACACAGGAAGACACCGTCATGCCGAGATGATGTTTGGCCCAAACTGTCACCGTAACCGTCTGATTTGTGACCACATGAAGAAAGATGACAGTTAAATGGTCTTTTTCATGCCTCTATTCAACATCTTGCTGAGTTGAAGACACCATTAAAACTGCAGGAGCTTGCACATTTCCCCCCATAGGAAGTCAAAGATAAACCACCTTTATAAGCAGAAAAACTCAGCCAAATGTTACCATGGTTACTGACAAGAGTTGCAACACCGGCAGGATTCCGAAACATTGCTCATTAGAGGAAGAGTTTCAGTCCAGTGATAATTGTGGGATGTCTTCTATGCTCATTTTAATAGGCTGGAGGTCAGAACTCTGACTTGCTTAATTTAAGCAGCCACAATCCACCATGCAAGGACACTTTCTGTGCTGTGTGTGTTCAACACTAAGCCACAGCTGGCCTGGCTTATCATGTGAAACCCTGATCAGCTCATTTACATTTCAGTTTGATGCCTAAATAGGCGTTCTTTAATTTCTCCTGGAGCTAACAAAGCAGATACTCGACAGAGTGGTAAAATTAGAAAAAATGCTGAGACACAATGCGAGCTATTAAGTTCAGGATTCTTCAAGACTATAGCAGGACAGTGTGATCATTCACATGGAGAGCAAAATTCCTCCAGCAACAGACAGCACGACAATATCTGTGTGGCTTCTGAAAGAAAATAGGCTTTGAACGATGCTCATGTATGTATTCATGATCGTTCATTCACAGATCTGTTCAGTCTGCTTTTCCACTAAGGGTTTTCAATTAATGGACCTAAAAATATTATTTATATACAACTGTGTGAACAAAAAAAACAGGAAAAAAAAGTTTGATCTTCCAATATGTGATCGTCTCACAAAGGGTGATCAGAGCCAGTTTGTCAGATCACCCCAGAGTGTAATCTAACAAACAAAAAACAACAGTGCATGGTGGCGTGAGTGGCAGTGACCTCAGGGTGGGGTGAGTCAGAGCCCATTCAACATGCCCGGGTTAAAATAGTCCTGCTTATCCAAATGGAACGTAACAGGAAGACAAGAGTAAAGACAGAAGAGTAAGATACTGAAATCAAAGAGAAAAATGCTCGGCAGCTGTAAGTTAGAAAAAGGGAAAAAAAATGCTTAGGAAAATATAAAAGAGGGTGTTTATAGTTTCAGCTCATTATAACAAATTATACATTTTGCATGTTTCTGATACTTTGGCAGAAACTTACAGAGATGGTAAGAAAGAGAAAAGTTACATACAGCTGAAATAAAATAGGAAAACATGCAAGTGCCCAAGCTATCATTTGATCATTTCTGGGCAGTCTCATCCCTGATTTTTTTCTGGCTTTAGTCATGTTTGTTATGATACCAGACTGCATCTGAGTCTGATCTCTGTTTTTTATCTTACTTGCCACCGGGGACTGATGTGATCTCGCTATTCGACCACTGCCAGCACGGGATTTTAACTCCAAGACAAACAACGACGAGCGATTTTGTACACGGGCACAGTGGAACTAATTGATGAAGATGATAAGCGCACCATCTGTCATTTCATAACATCCTCCCCTGAGCTTAGAAAGTACTGAGATCTGTCTGGATCCCAATGCAAACAAAGCGACCGCAGACTATTTACAGAAACATGTATTAAAATGATTTCCTTGTTTTTGATTAAATATCTGATTATTCTGACTAACCCAGTAGATTTAATGTTAAGAGATTCTACATTCATTTAGACAAATCTGTTTTTTTATTGGATAATAATCATTGTAATGTCACATATGCCGTATATCTAGTTGGCCGGGAAACAATTTCCCCAGTGTACATTTTACACGTTTAGTGTCAATTTATTGCCATACGCTGATGTTTTAAAACAAATGGACATATACAAAAGACATTGTCTGAAACAAATATTTCAATTGTCATCATGAATCTGATAAGACTGACTTAGAAAGAGAAATTACAAATG